AGGACAGTGCTACGAACCGTGCAGCCTAACAATTCGCCATTACCCATACCTGCATAGTGCTCTTAATGATTCAATATCAGAGTAAACATTAAATTATTTGTTGGCGGTTTCTTGAACGAGAACTCTTAACCCTTTTTAACCGACTTCAAAAAAGGAGGAGGTTCTCAATTCGACTGTATGTTTTTTTTATATTTGATGATGGTATCCACGAGAAAACCATATAAGTCTTAAATTTGCAATAAGTACGTGCGCGACAAATAGATGAATAACTCAATATCATGCCACCCGATTTCGATGATTATTGTTTTTAGTGTATCTTAATTTGTTTTGGAATATCTTTTTTTTTTTCGATTTGAAGTCGATTTTTGTTAAAGCAAGCCTATTTACAATTATTATTTATTTTAAATTTTGAGTAGTTATCTCGTTCAGTAGGTTAAAAACCGTACAATAGGCTATTCGCGATCTGGCTCGTGTCGGCCCTTATCGGCTCTGGTACCGAAGGTTGGCGCACAGCCAGATTTTATCAGTAAGCCTCGTCCAGGCTGTTTGATTGCCCCAATGAGTCCATTGTTCTCCTTTCTTATGCTGCTTTACGTGATTTATACTAGTTTTTGTTGTTTTTTCCTACGTATTCTGCTAATAATTTTTAGCCTTCGCGTTTAAAGGAAGTGAAATTTCAATACAAATGTAAACACTATACATTTTATTCGTCGCATTATTCGACTATACTTCGAATTTTCGGATTTGGAACAAGTTTTTTCTAGAAACTACTGTTGACCTTCTTCAGTTGCAAAGCAGACCCCTACTCCTGTTTGAATGTATTGTATAAAAAAAAAGTGACTTTGTATACATGTCTCACGGTGGGTGGTGGTGGTGGTCTATGACTAAACACTTGCAATGAGTTAGTAAATGAGCTCCTTTCTTCTTGTAGAGAAACACCACATTTAGAAATAGTACATATTTCACACAACTTCTGTTCATACATTTTCCAGTAAATGTTATAAATTTCTCGTAGGTTTGTTGAAAGAGATTTGATTATGAAAAATCAACTTCTATTGCACTCAACTTATTTATTAATGTCAGTTGGGCCGACACAATGCTTATCTTTGTTACTCGTGAAACTTTGAATACGTTTGCAATTCGTTGGCAAATCAGAAAAATCCGTTTAGGTAGAAGACTTCAGTAAATAATTTCAATTTCATTATCATTTTAACTATCATTGAACTATCATACTGATAGAATATCTTCAACCCGAAACTGTCAAATCTTGATATGGGTCATTTCATATCGTAAAGGGGATGTTCGAAATTTATACTGATTTTTTTCTTCTAATTAAATTAAATGCTTGTTTTTGGAGGTGACGTAAGCAAATTTTAATTGCAAGGAACTCTCTCAAGATTTTCTCGTTTCGTTAACCAGCAATTCTTAGAAGTAGTTTAATTAATCGACCCTGTGCTATTCCGAATAAGGTCGCCTTTCCCTAGAAAACTCGACAGTGACGTCACGCTTTCATAGCTTTAAGAGTCCGTAAATAAATATGTATAAGCAAAAATAAAACGGGTTGGCCTAATTGTTTACGATAAGAATAGTCGTCTTTTTTGCTCTGTTTTGTGGTGATATTTTATTGTTACAATTTTACGGTTAATAAAATCTAGGATAAGCACACATCTCTATGTAAAGTAGACGAATATATTAATTCAAATTTATGTTGTGTATTTGAAGTTTTTCCTTTCATGCGAATAAAGTAAAATACTTTTCAGATACACGTCCTTACAGATCCATCAGGTCCAATAAACCTTTGCACCTTTGCAAACCTTTCATCTTTAACACTAGGAGCAGACTTAAGGACCCTGGTAACCGTACTCGTCGAACTCGACGAAGAGTTTGATGTGCAAGTTAACCCATAGATAAGTCCGTTGAGTTTCTCGCCGTTAGCGGGTCGTGATTCCGATCCGGTAGTGCTCTTGCTCTTGAGTTGTTAGGTCTCCTTCGAAGGCGCTCGGGCAGCTGTTATCAAATCCCACCTCTCCTGGCTGAGCCTTTGCTCGCCCGCCTGTCCTAGTGAAATTGGAAAGGCCTCAAGGCCACTAGTAATCCTTCATATAAAAAAAAACCATTTCAGATTAATATTAATATAGAATAGGTTTTAATTTGACAACCAATAAATATCGAAATCAACTCTATGCTTGTAAGAGTTGAATCCATTATGCATCTTGTCAATGGCTTAGGCTTGGAGTTAATATGCATGTTTCACATGTTTTGATAAAAGAAAGTCGTCGCCGTCAAATCAAAATCTGCTATTTGCAAAATCTATTTTGAATTAACGAGTAAAAACATTTTCGTATAAAATTTTATATGAAGGTAAATTTTTAAGAACTATATCAAATGAAAGCTATAGATAAATATTAAAGCTATAGACACATAACAGTTTTTTTATACGGTAGATAGGTCTGTGAACTATACGAAAAGGCTAAAAGTGGCCGACTGTGGGCTGCCCATGATGATGATGATGATGATGATGATGAAGACAAATCCTAGTCAGTAAATTTTCCATCTTTAGAGTATTATCTTTCATAACGATTCGCTTCCATTGTTCATATATCCAATTCAATACCACAGAATAAACAAAGCTAAATTATGGTAATTCTCGTTTCATTACTTGAAGTGAAGGTTTGTACGTATGGTAATTCTTTACGTACAGGTTCTAAGGCGAATCGCGAAAACAGTGGCTTAGGTTGTATTACATAATACATATACATAATCGAGCATAAAAATGAATTTGTGCAATGTGTTGCCAAGATGTTATGAGTGGCTGAATTCTTGAAATCGCTGGTAATCATGAAAGTGAATACGATAAGTACATAATTACTTGAAACAATAATTTTAGAGTGAAAAGAAGGGGGAATAAGATTTACCTAAGTAATGGCATTATTTGTTTCAAAACTGGTACTTTTGTATTTGCAAATCTATCTATCTATCTATCTATCTATATATATATATAAATGAATTGCTGTTCGTTAGTTTCGCTAAAACTCGAGAACGGCTGGACCGATTTGGCTAATTTTGGTCTTGAATTATTATTGGAGTCTAGAGAAGACAAATATGAAAATGCACGGAATTAAATAAAAATAACAATTTTGTTTTTCCTTTGATATATCCCCCGTCAGACGGATTCCTTTTGTTTGTTTTAAGTTTATTTCATACAAAAGTTTAGGTCTTTTATTTATCGATTGAGGCACTACGTAGTCTGCCGGGCCAGCTAGCTTACAATAAAAATCTTTACCACGTCCTTTATTTGGCTTACCTACGTGATCACCCAACAGAGTAATGTCAACCTGTGTGTGGCAATGGATACGTGATTATAAATAGACAATGCGTCCCCTCGCCTCGGCTCGGTGCACAAGTCTCGTTAACGGTCGCCGCTCGAGGTCACCGATTTGATTCCTATGGGGCGCTTAATATCCTTTCGTTATTGGTATACGCCGATGATGTTTGAGATTCCATTCGATGATCTTGACATTCCAATTTCATTGGGCTAAATCAAGATGGAAACAGCTCACGAGACATACCACGGTCAAGTTTCAGGGACACGACTTTCAGCAATGAAGAAAGCGACGAAGAAGATGAAGAAATCAAGATACTTTATTCGGAAAAATATCAGTGCAGACGTAATTCTCCTTTGCTCCAGCCGATTAAAATAATGCCTATGGAAAAACGCAGGATCTTCTAAATACCACTTTCAATACTATGCAAATGTGACGTACATCGGATGCTCCTCTTATAAATTTGGTAGCGTTCCTAAGAGGAAACACAACTTGTTTCGGTATCAGTATAACATTTTGATCTTGTGTTGACCCATTTACTGTTCTCTGAACTGTTTTAATTTTGTTTGTATCAAAAGAAAGTTCAAGTCAGTTTGATTCAAGATATATACTTTGATAGGATCAAAAATGTTTAATTTTTGTCATTAGCTAGGGGCACTAAGTAGAAAGCACCAGATCGCGTAGAAGGCTGTCCATGCTATGGACCGACCAGATCAAGTCTGCAGTTGGCGGCTGTTTGCATGAGTGTACCAGACTCACCACAAGCCTTAATGAGTGGCGATTGCTCGTGAGGTGCATAACATCTGCCCAAAACAATGATGCTGGATGACGACCACGACCGCTCTAACAAGAGTGATACGACATACGAACGAAAAGGGACATATCGAATGTGAATGATGCGGGGCCGTATCAACATCTTTTTGATGTTCTAGTTTGCCAGACGAGAGCTTTTAAACTCTTAGTCATAATATATTTTCAGTTCAGGAGGATCTTAATAGTAAATGTTTGTCCAGCCGCGATATTACTACTGTATGCATTTACATAAGTCACATTGTTTCGTATCGATGATCGAATTCAAATGTTCACATTATAATAAGAAACGGCAAATAATAAGGCTTGGAGGCTTAAGAGGCTTTTCATGCGGCAAAATCGCACGCTTGTGTATACCAGACAAGAATTACTTTTTGTAAAAACAGTACAATAAACCTAGTAAATGTCGGTCAAGTGATATGGCATTAAGCTGAATAGTGAATTCCATTGTCACTTTTTACCATGCTTGGGAAGAGAGGAGGATGTTATTCTAGGTCGTCACCGCACAGCAATACTATTTTTCCTTACTATTTACTTGTAGCCTAAAGGCGTATTCTAATTAGGCACAGCCTGATAGTTGAATTCACGGGGCTCACCCTCAGAAAGTTTGCTAACACCGGCCCTAGTAAGCAGTGCTTCATAAAATCTACTACCGGATCAGAATCGCGACCCACTGAGAAGATCCGGCGAGAAACTCAGTGGGTTGTGTCGATGGGAGTACAGCATAGTCATATCAAGTGCCACACATCTGCTGTTGATTACAGGCCTCTTGTAGATTTTGGTCCATTCGAGGATATTTCGGCTCCAATGGGCCAAATTTCGATGCCCTGTATTACAAATATAAAAATCTTTGTGTTATTGTTACAGTCTAAAGCCCTTGGCCGCGTGCTGTTTGATCAAGTTTGCCGACAGCTACATCTCCTAGAAGCTGACTACTTTGGGCTCGAATATCAGGACAGCAATGGAACTAAGGTATGGGTATGTCATCGTTTTTTTTTTTTTATTTGCTTGTTTTTTTTTAACGCTTTTAATTATAACCCTACTAGCGACCCGCCCTCGCTTCGCTTCGGAAACTGTAATTTATTATTAATTTCTCCACTATTGAACGGATGTTATTATACATATAAACCTTCCTCTTCAATTACTCTATCTATTAAAAAAACTGCATCAAAATCCGTTGCGTACTTTTAAAGATTTAAGCATACATAAGGATATAGGGACAGAGAAAGCGACTTTGTTTTATACTATGTAGTGATGTATTGGATAATATCCTTTTTCATTAGGTACAGAGTTGTTCTGCGTTTTTTTGCCGCGAAAGCTTAACGAGGAATGTATGGCAAACGTTTTTTTTACACTTAATTTTAAACGAGACCATAATTTTATGTTTCGAAGCTAGTATCGGTATTTAAGTTTTGGTGTCTCTGTGCCTTAGTCGGCTGTAAGCTCATCCACTAAAATATAAACTAGTAAAGCTAAAATACAACCTAGAAGCCGCGATTAGTTTAAGTAATGTAGATATTACTAGGACAAGGATTTCTGTTTTGGATGCAGGTAGCAACGAACCGACCGCATTGGAGATCGATTTGAGCCTTTGTTCAGCCGTGGACATCTATAAGCTGAGATGATAATGATGATGAGGGTTCTCTAGTCTTTCAATAAAACCACTCCGATCTTAACATATGCCTATTTGTAATAAACACCTTAGCTAATTTCATTGTCTTCGTATTATTCGCGAAACTGAACTAAAATAAAACTACATGTCGTCGTTATTAATGCTATACAAATGCAATTTATGCAAATACGGTACTTGTATGCAAGACAGACGGCATTAAAGAAACCTTACTAGACAATACTTTCTCTATTGGATTATGTCTGATGCGTTTCTGTTTTTAAAACCAAATAGCCAAGTCAGACTGGTACAAGGGAATTTCAAATATGGACTTTTCGTAATTAACTGTACGTATGGAGCCATTGACCCGTTACTTACATAATTTTCTACTAGATGATGATCGAGCTTTGCTCGTTTTTTTTTTTTTGATAACGCCATCTTGTTGTGTCTTTAAAGCGGTTAGTTGCCCTCAATTAAGAAAAATAGTATTATTATTCGCCAATAGATGACGAGAAGAGTTGATTATTGAAAATACGAATTAAACAACATTTTCTGAAAATAAATCGTAGCTAGAACGATTTATCGCCCCCGAAATCCCCTGTATACTAAATTTTGTGAAAATCGTTGAAGCCGTTTCCGAGATTCAGATTATATATATATTAATATACAAGAACTGCTCGTTTAAAGGTATAAGATTAGCTTCGCCTGTAGCTTTGCCTCTGTTGAACTACATTTTATATCGTATGCGTGTAGATCCTATGCAGTGGTACCTACCAGAACGGGCTTACCGCAAGGTCTACCATTAATTACACTTAAATTTTGGGATAATATTTTGGTTAGACAATGTCTTTCCTTCTTTATGTATTTGCACCTGTCTGCGGGATTTGCGGGATTGATATTTAGATCGCTCGATACGAGTACACCGGGCGTCTTATCGTTTAGACCACAACACTTTTGGTATGCTATGGGAGATGCCCATTTCCAATTGCAGTTTAGGCTACAATACTTTTGGTATGCTATGGGAGATGCCCATTTCCAATTGCAGTTTAGGCTACAATGCTTTTGGTATGCTAAGGGAGAGTTCCGTTTCCACTTTTTATTTTCTTTCATACCTAATCTGATAGCCTTGAGAGGCTATTTCAGCGGAACCTTAACTAGTAGGTGAGCTCACGGGGCTCAAACCTGACGACGTTGCTAACACTGGCCCTAGCAAGAGCAGTGCGGAATCTACCACTGGATCGGAAACGCGACCCACTGAGAAGATCCGGGGAGAAACTCAGTGGGCTGTGTCTGAGGGTTAATTTACTCGTCGATACAATACAGAGTGTTACTAAGTTGAACCTTGCTCTCAGTACTGGCTGGACGTCGAGAAGCCGATGTGTCGGCAAGTCGGCCTGTCCATGCTGGAGCCCACGCTGCGTTTCTGTGTCAAGTTCTACACACCGGACCCGGCGAGGCTGGAGGAGGAGTTCACGCGGTACCTGTTCTGTTTGCAAGTGAAGCGCGACCTGGCGCAGGGCTGTATACAGTGCAACGAGAACACGGCCGCCCTGATGGCCAGTTACATCGTTCAAGGTACGGTCTCTGCTCGTTTGTGTGTTGATTTGTGTGTGTGACGGACCTGGTGGTGCAGTGGTTAGCCCTTGACTGTTTATTTATTTTTATTTTTTATTGTTTATTTTTATTATTACATCTACAACGTAAATGCGCCACCCACCTTGAGATATAAGTTCTAAGGTCTCAGTATAGTTAAAACGGCTGACCCACCGTTCAAACCGAAACGCATTACTGCTTCACAGCAAAAACAAGCGGGGTGGTGGTACCTACCCGTGCGGTTTCACAACAAGTCGTACCAACAGTAAAAGTTTGTTGGTTGCCGAGGGTCGTGGTTTCATGAAAAGTTTTGTTTGTTCTTCGTTTGGGTGTTTATTATCTATATATGTATACTAGCGGACCCGACAGACGTTCTTCTATGAATGCACACACAAAATTTAACTCAAGTCAATCCAGCCGTTTAGTTGCGGTATAGATAAATAACCTAGATACTGACTGCAGCGCCATCTGCCGGATGATTTGTGAATGTAAACCATCCAGGGTGCCACCCAAACGCATACGAAAAAAATATTCAAATCGGTCCAGTCGCTTAGGAAAAGTTCAGTGACACACACGTACAGTAGAATTTTATATATAAAGTTATTTAAATGTATATAAGTATGTTTATCAGCCTCTGCTACCCATAACACAGGAAATCCTAAATTATCCTAAATTAGAGATGACCGTGCGTGATTCGTTCCCAGTTGTGTTGTATTATTATTATGTATTTGTGTCTATTTTTGTCCTGATGGATTGGACTAACCAACGGACCCAATAAGCGAGCAACCAAACAAACTGGTAGAAATGGAGATTCTTCTGTAACACAATTAAAATTGATTCATAGACTACACGATGGATCGCGCAGTTCGCTAATGAAGTTTAATGTTCGACAGCCGAATGCGGCGACTTCGTCCCGGAGGATTATCCGGACCACACCTACCTGAGCGGCTACAAGTTCTTCCCGAGCCAAGACTCTGAATCAGAGCGCAGGATCATGGAGAACCACAAGAAACACATGTATGTGGCATTTAATGTTCTCGACTTTAGTCAAGCTATAGGCAGCGGCTTGGCTCTGATACCCCTGGTATTGCTGAGGTCCATGAGCAACGGTAACCACTTACCATCAGGTGGGCCGTATGCTCATTTGCCTACAAGGGCAATAAAAAAAAAAAAGTATATATCAACAAACCCAACTATATAAACAGTTATGTTCGTCTTTTGGGGAGAAAAAACTCTTGCCCAAGCATTAAAATCTTTTATTTTAAAATTTAACTAGCGACCTGCCCTCGCTTCGCTTCGGAAACTGTAATTTATTATTGATTTCTCCACTATTTAATGGTTGTTATTATAGATATAAACATTCCTCTTCAATCACTCTATCTATTAAAAAAACCGCATCAAAATCCGTTGCGTAGTTTTAAAGATTTAAGCATACATAGGGACAGATATAGGGACAGAGAAAGCGACTTTGTTTTATACTATGTAGTAATGTTGAGGGTAAAAGTTATCCACTAACTTATGTTGCATCCTACACAAATCCTGTTATGCTTATTTACAGAGGTCAAAGTCCAGCTGAAGCCGATTTAAACCTATTAGAGACGGCACGAAGATGCGAACTATACGGTGAGTCCATCGAACGTGTTCAAGCAAATTTAACCATTATGTGAAATACAATAACATTTATATTCCTGTATCAGGTATAAAGATTCACTCGACCAAAGATCACGAGGGCGTGCCGCTCAATCTGGCGGTTGCCCACATGGGCATCGTCGTGTTCCAGAACTACACGAAGATAAATACGTTCAGCTGGGCCAAGATAAGGAAGATATCGTTCAAGAGGAAAAAGTTCCTGATCAAACTCCACCCTGAAGGCTACGTGAGTTATTTGAACGCCGTATGTCCGAGCTAGTCGCTTTACTGGTGGTAGGACCTCTTGTGAGTCCGCACGGGTAGGTACCACCACGCTGCCTATTTCTGCCGTGAAGCAGTAATGCGTTTCGGTTTGAAGGGTGGGGCAGCTGCTGTAACTATACTTGAGACCTTAGAACTTATATTTCAAGGTGGGTGGCGCATTTACGTTGTAAACGTCTATGGGCTGCAGTAAACACTTAACATCAGGTGGGCTGTAAGCTCGTCCACCCATCAAAGCAATAAAAAAAGTCAACGGATACACTTCAAAGGAAAAATGTATTTATGCGATCGACCCGCAAAGGCACAGATCTGGAAGCGACGTTATTATGTAGTGTAGGGGTGTGGCCACATATATTCGACTTAATTACTTTAGCAAGAAATGTCATATTTGTGTACCTCTATTGCTTAAGAGTCTGGTCACCCTGCTGGCTCCGATATAGCACACGTTCAGTACTGAAACATCGCATAACCCGATCCTGTAGACCGAATGGTAAACAGTCGACGTCGCCCAAAACACGTCATTACGGATCCTCCCGATCCATTAACGGTGCTTTTACGTACCACAAGCACCGGCCACCGTCCTCGTCGAACCCATCGCTTGCAACTAAGGGCTCGACGAGCGAATTAATCTTCCGGATCTTCTCAGTGGGTCGCGTTTCCGATCCGGTGGTAGATTCTGCGAAGCACTGCCCTTGCTAGGGTCAGTGTTAGCAACACTTCGGTTTGAGCCTCGTGGGCTTACCTGCTAGCTAAGGTTACGCTGAAATAACCTCTCAAGGCTATCAGCTTAGGTAGGAAAAAAAAGTTAGATCTCTTTCGACGGCCTGTTTCTTGTAGTAACCGATTATACAGGGTGTGTTCCATCCGTGAACAGAAATATTTATAATATAATATTTTGTTTTCAATGTTTTTTTTTGTTATCTAAATATTAATTTGGTCGTTTCAAATTTTTTATTTATTTATTTTTTTTTTTTTTTACTTATGTACACACAGAAAACAAGATACAGTACAGAGTAATAGGAAAATTATGTACAAAGGCACTGCTTATTTCTTTAAGAAATCTCTTCCAGCAGACCTGCGAGAGGATAATGAGAATAATAATAAAAAGTGATAAGTGTGTGTAGAACAAATAACACATAACTAAAATAACAAATACAACATGAGAATTATAGCACATACACATAGCAAATATTATAAGTAACACAGTAACACTCGTATATGCGAAGAGATGGCGGTAGTTCTTTTGACGTTCAACAAGTATGTACTTTCATTTATGTTGAATAAAAATTTTTTGATTTGAAAAAAATTTTTTGATTTTGATTTGAGTATAGAACCATTATCATTCGGTTGATGAGAGATAAAATTGTTTGACCTTGTATTTAAAAACAGAAACAGACTTGCAAACTCGGATGTCAGCCGTCAACGAATTCCACAGTCTGACCGCGTGCACAGTAAAGGAGTGAGAATAGAAATTGGTTTTGTGGGAAGGGAATAACAAAACAGAACGTTGGTTAGACCTGCAGGGAGCATCAGGAGAACGAATGAAAGAGAATCGCTCACGTAAATATAAGGGAGAAGTTGCGCGCCCACAAATTTTGTGGGCGCGCAACTAATCTAGAATAAAATTCAAGGTTTATGAAACCCGGGAGCCGTTGCTAGCTTTTATAGACAAAGCCTGTGTTTGAAAAGTGTTTGTAGAAGTTTTAAAATACTGTTTCATGATTGCAGGGATATTACCGAGACGTGGTCGAGTTCTTCTTCGAAGGTCGGAACGAGTGCAAGAACTTCTGGAAGAAATGCGTCGAGAACCACGGCTTCTTCCGGTGCTCCAGCGTGCCGCGCCTGCCGCGACACAAGACCAGGGTCATCTCGCGCGGCTCCTCCTTCAGGTCCAGTAGCTTTTGCTTTTGAAGTGAAACTTCTTTAGAATCGTTGGGTGTGATTTCAAACTGGATGAAACGAAAAAATGAAACGTGAAGTTAAAATATCAATTCATAGAGGGCGCTACCTCATACTATAAAAGATGATTTACAATTATTTCTATTCGAGGGGTAAAAGGCTATATTTGGTTTAAGTGACAATTTTGAAACTTTTGTCCTACTTATGCCTGGAAAGGCTATTTCAGCTTCGTCTTGACGTGTAGGTGAGCTCACGGGGCTCTAACCGGGAGTGTTGCTAACACTGGCTCTAGTAAGAGCAGTGCTTCGTAGAATCTACCACCGGATCGGAAACGCGACCCACTGAGAAGATCCGGCGAGAAACTCAGCTGTATCTGTGGGTTAATTTAGGACGGTGGACCGGGAACTTTATAGAAGAGCCATTTAAAGTTTAAAATTAAGAATAAATGTCATAACAAAAAACTTCTTCGGCTATTTGAATGGAGTAAGCTTAATTGAAGTTCAATTAAAAACATCGAACTGTTGATGATAAAAGCAAATGAAACGCACCTTTAATTACATAGATAAATGTCGCGTGTTAAGCAAAATGTCTGTATGTAATGTCAATGTAATAGGCAATGTCTCCAAAATTACCATTGGTTCTGTTATTAAACCTAAATGTATTTGATTAGTTTTAGAACTCCCACAAGATAGAAGGACGCCCTTGTGAAGGTCGCGGAAATCCGGTGTGGCCAACTATTTATAATAATGATAGCTCTTATTGTTCTACAGGTACAGCGGCAAAACCCAGAAACAGATAGTCGAATTCGTCCGCGACAACTACGTGAAACGACAAACCTTCCAAAGGTACGTTCACACTACACGACTCTATCGATCAGCTTAGCTCGTCTCACAGACGATACACTATACGTAGGGTCGCAAGTTCGACACAACATAACGTGTCGCACTGAGCCGCGTGCAGCCGTCGGTAATAACATAATTAATTACATACACATGTATAATAATTCGACGCTTGAAAGGCAAACGTGACTAAGCGACAATAACTGCTTTGTATATAAATAATAGGCAATAACCATATTCGATGCGCAAAAAAAATATATATATATTTCTAGGTCTATTAAAATCATTTCAATCCTACAGCTAGATTCGTTAAAATATAAATTTTTTTTCAGGTATTTCAACTTTAAATTAGTCTACTGTAAAGTTCACGCATTGTCGCTTAGTCACGTTTGCCTTTCAAGCGTCGAATTATGTACGTGAGGTTTATATTGTGTCGGCTTCGACTTGCATGCGATTATCGAGAGCTTTTAAGCCGCTACAGTTTGTTTGAACATTTAGCTTATAAACGTAACCGTTGGCTAACTTGGTTGTAGTTTAGTGACGTTCTAGTTGAACGATTGTCTAATCGATTCGTAGGTGGAAAGGGATTCTGTGACGTCACAGGATACTTTAATGGGATCTCTGTGATATAAAGGTGTGCGGTCAGCATGGGTCGGGAGACACTGGCTTTTGGTTTTGTCTTGTGGGCATCTGTGTTAATAATACAATAAATGCAAAACGATTTTATTTAATAAAAAAAGGTGAAAACGTGAAAACTTTGCATGGCGTTAATGTAAAAAGTCCCTAAAAACGACTAAAACGGTTATAGCGTAAAATAGAGACGAGGCTTCGACTAGTTTTGTGTTTATCGATGGTGGATTAGTAAAACGAGCATGCGCTGTACTTTGAGAATATCGCTTAATTTCGATAAATGACAAGATGAATTGCGTTGCTATTGAAACGTGGCCGCGACAATCGGTCGGAGGATGGTGTGTGCTTGGTCAATTTTAGGGATTTTTTTCAATGGGTCTGCGCTCCGAAATTTATCGATACATTCGATTTTACGCGGTGTCGTCCGATTAATTTGGTAACGGTAGTTTCACAATGACAAAACTGAACTCATCACGGCTTAGTACAGCTTATTGCACAACCTACGAACAGTGACGTGTAGACCAGACCATACGTATTCAGTTGCGTTGTGATAAATCGTCATTATTATCGATAAAACTTATCAATTGAAACCGTGATTAATATTAATGTTATAGTTTTTTTGTTTTTTGTTGTATTTATCAAGTAGTAATTGTTGCTTTTAAATCAATCCTTTCAACGGATTCATTGAGTAATTTGTGATTTAATTGTGACATTTCGAACGAATTATTGTTTATCGATTTTATTCTTGTAGAAAAAGAAAACGGTTTATTTATATTGTTTCATCTCATCTCGATTGCAAGTCAATACTCCGAAAGTATTGATTTAGAATATCAATTACCAGTTTTTTTTTTGAGTCAATTAAAACAAAACGCATGATCTCGTGGTAATTTAAAATCCGTCGTGGAAGTACGATGCGCCTGTATAGGAGAGTGTGTTCTTCGTCTGGGCGGTTAGGTTCGGGAGGGCAGGCCCAGAGGAACCAAAAGCTGGTGTGTGCGTCACCATCCTCTGGCGGACTGTCGGCAGGTCGGGCTCGTTCCGCGCGACCCGAGTGGCTAGCGGCGCGCTGCCCTCCAGCCTCTCCGCGCACCCGCTGCTGCCGCTGCCGCCCGGCTCCGACGGTACGTACACGCACCACGCCCCTTGTCCAGCCTTCACACGCAAGCACACACACGCACACACACACACACACACACACACACGCACACACACACGCACACACACACGCACACACACACGCACACACACGCACGCACACACACGCACGCACACANTTTTCGTTTTTATTCCCTAGTTATGTATTCGGGTTCACGACCCACCTCGTATAAGAAGGTTTCCGAACTCCACAAACATGGTCACAACGTGAATGCCGTAGCCTACCTTGACACATGAGGTCGAAATTTCAATTGTATATAATGACTATCCTGGGTTTCACTGACTGGCTGCTGTCTCTGTTATATTCTTTCAGCATTACTAGAGGGCGAATGAGACGACGCTAATCGTTTAAACAAGCTTCACACACACACACACACACACACACACACACACACAAAAACGCGTGCGCGCGCGCACACACGTACGTTGTTGTTGGAATCTACAGTAGAGAATACATTATATTTCTTATATAAGAACATTAGGTATTTAGTTATCTAGAATATAGTTAACGTCACATCCCAGGTTCGAGTGTTTAGTGTGTGGGAATTTTTTTAGTGTTACTTTTATCTATATAATTAAATATTATATCAAGTTCTTATAGCAAGTTCGAAAAAAAATTCGTCATCCCTAAGTTTAATAAAAATGTCTTTTATCGATCGGCTTCATGCTTTTTGGTATTTTAACTACTTATATATTGTTTGGTTGTCACTTTTTATGTATAAATAAGCTTTTCATTTGCTATTGTCACAGTACACAATATATTATCACGGAATAGGTACACATTTGATATCCAAACCTCGACCATTTGGTTGGTATTCGTTTATCTCATACGAAATGAGAAATACATTAATATTCGACACACATAATAATATAATGTTTTTTTGGCATTTTGCAATTTACCGGAGTTAACACGATGCACGACTATGCGCTTACATAAATAAGCAGACAACATATATTTCCTTTCCATCTGAGTTTACAACTAAATTAAACCCGAAAATACTCCTCCACAATTCCTGATTTGAATTTGCACTGACATATTGTTTTAGTTCAGTTGACTGATACATTGACCGTGACTAAACAAAATAATTAAAGTTATTTTTGAGACCGATTATTAAACAAAAAACCGTATTTGTACTTAGGTGATGGTAGAAGTTGTACTTCGGTATTATCTATCAACTATTTATAAAGTGTATTTATGGTATTTATTGTTAAAATTCGACTTATTAAGAATACTATAATATAGAATCAATCTTGGTACACAATCCTTATAATGAAATAAGAATGCTAGATGCATTTTGGCGTAACTTCAAAATTTTTTATTTAATCGGTTCTTCCAAACGAAGTATAACTTCTAAAAGGTAGGAGGCCCTCAACTCGAGATTCTTTTTTTAACTTTATATCCATGGCCGTGGCAGATGTTTTTTTTATGATTTTTTATTTCTTATTATTGCAGTGCTAATGTCCACTGTCAATGTATTTGTCAGCTTGGATGAATTTAAAAAAAAAACAGCAAGAAGAATTTGTTGTAGAATGTTGACGTTGTTGTATCTGCAGCGATTTCCCTGGAGTGGGACAAGCAGCCTCACTACCTGGAGGCTTCTCTGATGATGAAGGGATACTCGGCGGAGGAGGCGCGGGCGGCGGCCGAACGGGCTCGGTGTCGGCCTCCCGCCGTTCGCCCACCGCTACAAGCTACCGCCTATGTCAACACGAGGGACAAGGTACCGACTGCAAAACCACATTTTTAATATAACACCATACTATCATTTATAAACGCTAAATGTTTTTAAATTAATACCAGCGTTTTTAAATTAGTACCAGGTAGGCAGCGGCTTGGCTCTGCCCCTGGCGTTGCTGAAGTCCATGGGCGACGGTAACCACTCACCATCAGGTGGGCCGTATGCTCGTCTGCCTACAAGGGCAATAAAAAAACTACTTTTAAAAAGTTTTAGTTTTGAATAATTTTTTTCTAGCTCTCAGTTATTAATAGATATATCGCACATACGGTGCTATAAAGTCACTTATGTAATTTTTGTTAACACTGAACTGAGTATGAAAAAAGTACCTACCCGTGCGGACTCACAAGTGGTCCTACCATCAGTAAAAAATGATACAAGTAAGACTTCTGCCTCACGTCCTAGAGGTGGGCGGTATTCACGATATCTCATCACTGGATGCAGTAAATATTTAAGGCCAGGTAGCCGTGAGCTCCATCAAAAATGTGTGAAAAGTTTTTTTTTTGTTTTCAACACCGAATGGTAGAAAATAAATAGTAACTCATTAGTCTCAATTAGTTTCCGAGCATATTGAAATTGATAGAGTTTCGATAAGAAACTTTTGAAGCACATTCACTGTTAAATTTTTTTTACTTAAAATAGTAGGCTTCTTAAATATTTTTTTAATAAAAGTGTAAAGTAAATACTTTTTTTTATTATTGGTTCAGATGTAGTTGCCTTATTGAGTAAAATCGCTTTCAAAATACATCTTAGACAATGTTTCTTTATTTGTCTCTTTCAGCTGACAAAACAATACTGCAGCCAAATAGTAAGAGGCTTTCACAATTGGCTTTTTAACTTGTATATCGATGTTTTACGTTCATCCCTAACCCGATTGTATGTCAAATGATGTGTTTGGTCATGTTAAAGTTTCGCTTTGAAAACCCTATACGTCTCATAAAGAATTTTTCATACACATTCAGAATGATCTAACATATTTTGTATAATTCAATAAATAACCAAATCTATTTTATTTTTCAATGGTCTGGTTTATGTTTTCCATAACAGTTTACAAAACTCAGCACCGCAGTTTTAGTGCACTTTTAATATGCATTATGTTTTTAAAGGACTTAAAATAAGAAGGATCCAATTTCCAAAAATACGGCCTAAAGAAAATATTTCTTGACGTCGGAGATAAAACGTTGAACGGTTATGTGGCGTATATACCATTTTAAACGACTAACTAATATAAGATGGTTAAAAATATGACAAAAAAATCTAAGTATAACAAAAATAAGAAAATAAATATTATGGGACCGGCCAAGCGGGTAGGTAACAAACAGTTGTACATCCAGATCTGATGGCTGGAAGAGCACGATTATAGTTTAACTGAGATTACAACCTTATGGGTTGGTTTTTACGTAGCCTTGTCTATGGGCGTTAGCAATTACCTAATCGATACTGGACAGAACCTCAGATCGAAATTTTAAGTACTTTCACTAAACTTAACTTTTGCATACTGCATACAAATTGCTTATTCAAACTTATGTATACTAATCTGTTTCTTATACATTGCCGGTTGGATCCTTGTTGCAAAATCTTATACATATCGGCATGCACCGGCTTTCTCTCTTTACACATACTTTTCCATCTAGCACTGCGCACTTATATGTGATGATATGTTAAGGGATATCACCTCATGTGAATATTGTGGCTACAGGTGGCTCCAGAATTGGTGACCCGTGCCGAGGTCAATCATCATCCTATGGAGGATTCGCCTCTGCTTCATCGGACGACGACACCATCGGTATGTATCGTATCGGACGGGGAGCAATATACACACGTCTTTGACTGGACGACTACAGTTTTTGTTGTTGCAGGATTCCCCGGAGAGTACCTGGAGACGGCAGAGTGTATCCCGAGCCCGGGCTGCCCCCGCGCCGCCGCCCCGCACAGGTCAGAGCTCCGTCACGCGCACCACGCGCATTGCCACGCGCCCTGTCGCAGACTCGCCGGGCCCTAGCGGCTACCCCGACTTTGTGCTGCCCAAGCAATCTTCCAGTTTTCGAAAATCTTCAGAGCGCCTCGAGTACGAACTCAGCCAGACCAACATCTACTCGGCCTGCCCTTCGACCCGCTCGAGTCGATCCGGCGGAGAGCCCTGCCCGGATCCCCTGCCGGACTCGGACGACGAGCGGCGCGTCGGATTCATAGGGCCCCGTCGCAGCGCCAGCTGCCGCAACCTACGCGAGTACAGCTTCGACGCGGCCGGCCGCACGCGGAGCGCCGCGCCCCTCCTGGACCGGCCCGTGACCCGGTACGGCGAGCCCTGCACGCGGCTGCCGCACCGCACCTCCGTGGAGTCGCAGCGCTCGACGCTCGGCCGCGCCTACTCCGCGAGCTTCCCGGGCGCCGTGTCCGAGCCGCGCCTCGACCTGGCGGCGGCGGCGCGCACCGGCTCGCAGGACGACGTGTCGCACGACAGCTACGAGCTCATCGAGCGCTCCGACGACGAGTCCGACCGCCGGGCGCGCTCCCCGCCCCGCACGCGCTCCTGCTCGCTCGACTCTGGTAACGAGCTGCCTTCCGACGACGATCGTTCTCTGTCCGAACCGGAGGACGAGGCCGGCCAGTACCGCAGCGAGCCAGATTTGTCCCTTGGACCGTATCTGGCGGACGACCCGCGGGTGTTGCCGCGCGAAAAGCTCTCTGTGCGATCAGACGGTGCTTTCTATCGCGAGATCAAACGAGCGCTTGGATCGCGCACATCCAGTCAGGAGTCGAGGAGCGAATTGTACGACTCCAAGCTCTCGAAGAGCAGCGCCGAGTCGAGCAAGAAATCGCGTGATAGCGTTTATCACACGGACAGCAAAAAGTCACGTGAGACGCTCAAAAGCAAGAGTTCGGACCGCTCGGGCTCGCGGACTTCGAGCCAAGATTCGAAATCTGACTACTACGAGTGTCGTCGCACTCTGTACGAGCCGGACGAGGCGCGGCGCCGCAGCGTCTCCAGCGTGCAGGTGCCCTACGTCGATCCCTTCGAGCCCACCTCTGTCTCTTCGAGTCCGGACTCTACTAAAGATTTTTATGACGCTCAACCCACTTTTATCGGAATGGAAAAACCGGAATATCGTGAAAGGACGTTGTTCGGTAAATCTCATGAAGATTTGATCGCTAATATCGCTAGCTCCCCAAATTATTACCATATTCCCACTCCTTATTCGACTTTTCCAAGTAATAGTAGACATAGAGAACCTGGTCCCCTACATTCAGCCAGTTTACAAAATGTTGAACTGGATACCTACGGTCACTATTCGGATTTGAGTCCTCCGAAAAGGGTGGAAGAATTTTCAACAGAGGAGGAGGACATGCACCCGCACACCACGTACATCTGGCCGGAAAAAATTGCCGGTCTCGATACGGAAATCGACAACACTAGAGCGGCCAAAATACACAGCTATCAACGACGTCGCTCCTCTGATACGGTGTTCAGTTTCGACAAGGATAAGATCGAATCATTGACGAGAACGATTAGTAAGGAAAATACGACTTCACATCTAGTTAAAGAATCGTCCAACGAATCCGATGTTAATGTACGCGTTTTACCGGCCATGGACAGTATTGAGTACGCTAAAAATAAAGCGAAAGCTGCCGCCATGCAGTCGGGTACTACATCAATACTCCAGTCGGAGTACGATAAACGTGGAAAGGTGCACACGCACATGATAAGAAAAGATAACTTGAAGGAAGAGTTAATGGCTAAAACGCACTTTGACGAATATAATCCGAAGCTGATATTGGAGACGAGCTCCAGCAGTCGACTTGCGGAAACGACGGTACCGTACACTCATCCCACGGTAGAGCGCACTAAAAGTGATCCGAACAGTCTCGCCAATAGACCGCGCTTCAGCAGCGTTAACTCGCGTCGGCACGTACTCATGCATCAAAAGTCGATAGACTTAACGCCTGCCGAGTCCAGCGATGAAGACTATATTTTCCGACAGATACCGAGCGCTCCACCAATCGCGTCAAAAAGATCGCATTTCGAAATGCCTTCGAGACACATCGACCATGATCCGCCTTTTGATTTACCGAAAAACTATTTCAAAGAATTCGATGACTTCAAAGCGACCTGCCTTAAGGAACCAAAAAAATCTATCGATGACGGTTACGATATACCTTATGTCTTGCACAAAAGGCACGTGATGAATGGAACAGCACCGTCTCCTTCAGACGATCAGTGCCAACCTCCTGATATCGTGATGATGCCTCCTCAAAATGGAAGGCACGTAAACTCACATCCTCGATGTAAATACCACGATCATCCGAAATCACCTCGTTCGCCCAAGTCGCCTAAGTCTCCCAAATCACCAAAGTCTCCCAAATCTCCTAAATCACCAAAATCTCCAAAATCACCCAAATCACCAAAATCGCCAAGAAGTAGTATTCAGGTTGATCATAGTTCTAAGTTCTTGGACGTTGAAAATCATGACTTTTTGTTTACTCAAAACATAGATTTATCAAAAGTAGATCCGGTCACTTTAGAAGTTGATAAAAGTGGTCAATTGAAGCACATGATTAGTCCAAAGCGCGATATAACAAAAAGCTTAGATCCCCTATTACTTGAAACATTGAATTCTAAATTAAGCCAAATCGAAAGTGACTCAGCAACGAGCTCGAAAACTGATAGTTTAAGACAGGATCCTCAATGTCCACATGATATTAAATTCACTATAAACGGTCGAACTGTGCAACAGCCACCTATATGTAAAGAAACAAAACCAATGACAGCAGCCGAAAAACTGCGAGCCGATATCAAATCTAAATCTGAAAAACTACCACTTAAAAGACCCAAGGCACGAGGTCCCGGTAAAAAAGGGGCAAGTGGGAAAGTGAAACAAAAGAATAATAATAAAATAAGAATAACTTCTTTTTCTTCTGACGATGAAAGCGTAGATTCTGATGACGTATTCGGAACTACTGAAGCTGCCCCTAAATTGGAATTTTCGCCTCCGCAATCCAGAAAGGATTTGGAACCCATCTTGCAACTTGAATATGACAAAATTACCTCGGGTGCTTGGCATCGAGGTCAAACAATGAGTTCGACAGAAATAGAAGGTTCACCACCACAATGTCGAAAGTTGCTCGAATTAGAAGCAAAATACAATCCACAAGTACTGGACAGTATTACAGGCAATGCTACAGAATTGCGACGTATATCGGAACGCTCTATCTCAATTCCTAGTTCGGAAGATGATATCATTGCAAAAATTCTTCCAGAAATCAAGCAGGTTAGCAAAGACAGTTCCACCTGGGAATTTAATGAAAATATCCCCTCGCCTATACTTGAGAGTACTGAGTTTCTAAAATCAGAGGATGAACATTTGGCTGACATGGAAATACAAAAAGTAACCGGGAGTCACACACTATCCGAAGATCAAAGTGAACCCGTTAAAGATGATAAAAAAGATTCATCTAAACTAGATGTGAAAAAAAGCTTACGGGATGAATTAATTTCACCCATGTTACGTAAACCTGGAGGTACGCCCATACTCTTTGCTCACGCTAGGTTGAATTTATCGGAAGGCTCTGTGTTCGCCTTGCAACGACAAAAAGCTACTCAAGATTCACCGACATCAGGTCGGAGAGCTAAAAGCTTAGATACTCCTGTCATCCAACTTCACAGGCTTCCTCCAATGAATGCATTCTCGTCAAAAGATGACACAGTTGAAGATGAAAATGGAGAAAGTATTATTCTTGAAGAGAAGTCCATTGTTGAAGAGAAAGGAACCAAAGTGCCTTGCGCTATGAAAGAAATAATCGAAAAAATTGAAGAGGTTGAAGAAGAGCAAGTAGCGGAATCATCACACGAGAAGAAATCGGTTCTGATTGACAGCGAAGAATTACAACTTTTAGAGGATTTGGTAGAACAAAGACGGCCAAGATCATTTAAACGTAGATACGATTTAACAAAATTAAAATCTCAAATGAAGTCTCCGTCTAGATCTCCACTCAGCAAGTCACCTATGTCACGATCGCCTATTTCGAAGTCACCATCCCGATCTCCTACATCCTCACTCAACTCACCACGGGGTAGTATTAGAAAGCTTTCTGACCTCAGTGAGGATCAAATAGTTCCTGATATAGAAAGAATCAAACGTAAAGATAAGAAAAAATTGACTTTGAAAGTGAAACCTGAAGAGAAACAAAAAATAAGTAACAAACTAAATAAAGGTGGCTCACTTGACACTAATGCAACTAAAGTGAAAGCACTACAGACTCAGAAATCGTTACCATCGTCACTCAAGGATCGTCCTGATTTCTTAACAGTTCCTCCCCTAGACTTAGCTCGAGCTAAGAGTCAAGAACTAGAACAAACTGCTAAGAAGATGGCTAAAGAAAAATCCAAATCATTGGAGAAAATGGAGGTTAAACGAGGAAGCAGTAAAGAAAGAACGAAATCTCAAGAAGACAGTGATACTGAGATAGCTAAGCGTAAAGAGAAGCAACAAATGCTATTTGAAGCTGCCTTGAAACAAACGAAGACTCTCATAAGTCCAGTAAAAGACACCATGCCGCCTTTCCCACCACCCGAAGACAAAATTTTGGTTAAAACGGAGGGTGACAAAATTATAATTGAAACGAAAATATGTAGCAAAGCAGAAGACCACGTGTTTATTGCCAAGTCTCCTAAAAAACTGGATGATAAGCTAGGTGGTAAAATTAGTAGGAGTTTCGAAGATCAAAAGACACCGAAACCCAACATTAAAACTAACAAGAGCATGGATGATAAATCGAGTCAATCTCTGGAAGATAAATTCGATGATCTTGCAGCCTTACAAAAGTCACCCAAAACCTTGTCAAAGAAGCAAGAAATCAAACAACTCATCGAAGGTAAAGTAGTGTATCAAAAGGTACACCCAAGCGTTAAATCAAAAAGTTTAGATCGCAAAGTAGATGTACAACTCGATGCTAAAATTAAGTCAAAAAGTCTGGACCGGAATTACATAACACCTATAACAACTGAAAAAGTTTCACCCGAGACTTCTGATAAATATTTCAAACAAGAAGTTGTAAAAGTTGATGTTCACCCTAGCGTACAAGAAGAACCTGAATACGTTATGCAAGACTTTGCTACTGCTCAAGAAGCAAAAGATCAATCGCCTTCAAACAGTTATAAGGATAAAACTGAAGATGATTCTTCGATGGAGTGGATGTCGAGTTCCCAGCATACTGTAATAGAAAATGATACTCAAACTGTCATAATGGAACGTCGTAAAATTGATATTTACAACAAACAAAGACAAAGCGAATTACAAGAGAACAGAATTAGTCAAAGTGCTAACGAATTAGCTACGTCAGAAAAAGCTGAGGTAACTCGATTAACGAGCGAAGAAGAGTCTCTAACCGATGTTAGTGAACTAAAAGTATCAGATGAAAGTCATTTGCTTGGTCTTTCTTTGCCATTTATAGATGCAGATAGTTCTTCTGATCAGGACCAAGCATCGAGAAACATAAAACTGAAACGTGCTAAAAGTGATGACACGTCATATGTTACGGATGCATATGATGAGACACTCGATACCGAAGTGCCGATATCTGATATGAGCAGCAAAGCCAAAGGTAAAGTCTTAGATACTCAAGGAACTTTCGATGAATCTTCTGCTAGTCTCATGGAATTTTTGAAACAGGAATCAATGTCACAGGTCTGTTCAGATACTGAGACGGAGCCCGAAAGCAAAATGACAAAATCTCCATCTAAACCTTTGGACTTGACGCTTAAATGGAAAAATAAAAATAAAATAATTGTAACTCCGCCTCAAGAAAACAGCCCCACGGTTGAAAACATTCCTTTCATTGATTCTAGTACTTCCAGATCTAATAAATCGGATACTGGAGAGCTTACTGGAAGTTCGGGAAGTGACAAATCGCCCACCGAACAAAGACCAGATCACAGAACATTACTATCTGCTAAATCAAGACGAAGCGAACTCTTAAAACTAAGCGCTGAACGGTCTCGCAGCTCTGAATCAACATCTTGGACAAGCATTGAAAAAGACGTGAGCCCTTCAAGTCATATTAAAGGTAGCTCTATCGACGATGAATCTAGTGTGAGTTGTTCTATTGCTCGGCCACTCGGTATCTCCCAAGATATAGAAAAGCTGAACAAAAAAGACAGAGAATGCTTAGAGGAGTTGAAACAAGCTATGGAATACGGCGAAGAACACTTACTATCTCAACAAACTTTGTCTAGTGAACATTCAAAGTCGAACTCGAAATCACCCTCACCAGTACCTGAAATGACTCGTATAGAAAGTCCAAGAAGTCCAAGTAAATACGGAAATAGAAAATCTCCTACACCAACGTTAGAAAAACAGAGACAAGTGGATTCTCAGAGAGCACCAACTGATTCAGAATCCAGTTCTGAAAGTATCGATAAAACTGTCGAACAACTATCTAAGCCAAACTTAAGAAAGAGTGGCTTAGAGAAAATCGGTAAATGTGTTATTGAGGAATCGGAGTCCAGCCAATCAGCGGCATCTAAGGCATCGGACGTTGCGCGTGAACTGCAAAGGACAGTAAAAAAAACTAAAATTGCGATAACGATCTCACAGGAGGATCAGAACACTACAATCGACTTCGATGACGATGGCAATGTTATAACTTCATCATTCGAAAGAGAACTTATGAAGAAAAGAGCTCTCAAAGACACTGACCAGAAGAGTTCGTCTAAATCAAGCATGGATACCACCACTACTACTACTCCGTCGAAGGGATCTCTTAGTGTAGATGATTCGTCTTCCAGAAGGAAAGGCAGACTTGATGAACAAAAGAGTTCATCCAAATCCAGCATGGATTCTCGGGGATCATTAAGCGTCGAATCCAGAGGTTCTTTTGAAACCACTGAGTCAACTTCCGGGTCTTTAGGTGAAGCATACCGGAGAGGAGAAGAATTAAAACCGACTTGGAGACCATTCTTTGGTGCGTCTGGTAGCGAGAATAGTACGAGTATAGAGGAAGCGTGGATACCTCAAGATCACGAAGGCTATGAAAGTTTAGGTCTTAACAAAGAATCTTTTGAATATAATAATCAAAGGTTATTAGATGATTTTCAAAGCTTTCCGAAAAATCCTCCCCTGTCTTCGAATACATCAAAAGATTCTACTGACGCTGACTTTGCTGATGATTTAAACGATTTTCCTGTAAATTTTCTTTATCCATCTTCATCTTCAACTACTGACGTTGTTATAGGCTATGGTCAAAATTTTGGGCGTACGCTTTCACGTATTTCAGAACGTAGTACGGCATCAGAAAAAACGAGTGCTGATGAAGACTCGACAAAGGCTTGCTCACGGTCTGAAAGTTTAAATGAGGAATCCTTGAATTCTAGCGATCATCAAGCCAGCTTAAGTTCTGATCCCCCAAGTAACGCTAATGTTGCTTACATATCGGATACGGACAGAAGGACATCCGCTGAGATGCCTGATATACCTATTGATCAAACTAAGATTAGCGAGATGTATGAATCGAGAAAAGAATCTGAAAAATCCACGAAAGCTGCAGTGGAGTCAAGGAAGTTTGACGAAAGTCCTACAAAATTAAGAAAGAAGTCCTTGCAAGCACCGTCGAAACACTCTTCAGCCAGTGAAAGTCAGGAATCTGAAGACTGGCCTTTACCTGAATTACCATCGCAACCTAAAAGGCCGAGAGGTTCCGGATCATTTAGAAGTGATTCCGACGAGATGGAATTACCTGGTACGTCCAAACTTTTAGAAACGCCGATCATTGAGAAGGTGCACATTTATTACATGAGTAATGAACCGGAACAAGCTATGAAGGTAACATTACAATCGGAAAGTTCCAAAGGTCAACTTGAAGGCTCAGATGATGACAGCGACACTTTGAATAATGATGACGATTTTGAAAAAGATATCCCAGAATCGAGATCAGATAAGTCAAACGAAAAAAGTACCGATAGTCCTCAAAAACAAATTCAGTCCATTCCTTACGACCAATCTAGTTACATGGTCGAGCCATTAGAAAAACAGGAAGAATTCACATGTTTGAACAAAAATGTCGTGCCAAGCTACGATAAGTCATGTTTATCGGGTACCATAAGTAAGGCTTCCTGCTTAATAGGCGATACGGGTGCTTGTTGTTCGCGTGCTGATAATAAGTCATTTGCCATTAAAAGCAATCTCCAAGACAAAGTTATTATAAATCAACCTCAAAAGTCGCCGACAAACAGAAGCCCGATATCAGAGGAAGATAACTTATACAGTGATGATGTATTTGGTGGAGACAGTAAATCCTTGTCTCCAGATTTTGATAAAGGGTTTTCCAATTTGGGAACTCAAAAATATTCCTTGGGATCAAATAATTCTGACACTTCCATTGATGATCTACTCTCACAGACTGCAGAAGAGACTGTACGTGCGGTAGGAAAGCTAAGTATTGGCAGTATCGGTAGTTCCTGTAAAAGGTGTAGTCATAGTAGTCACTCCGAAGAGGAAACTAGTTCTTTTGGAACCGATTTAGACGGGACGGTTAAAATAGGACTTCCTCAGAAGAAATGCACACATAGCTCTCATTCAGAAGATACTTCTATCTGTCTAAGTATTTCTGAGTGGTCTACAGGAACAAACACGGTACGTCAGTATGCCAATCTGTCCGCATCTGAAAGCACATCTGCTGTGTCCGTTCCTAGGAGTGATAAATCAGAAAATGTGTCTGCAAAAGGATACCATTCAGCGTCACACGACAGTAAAAAGATAGATAAGAGTGATAAACCTAAACTATCTTCTAAAGCTGAATTCAGTTCTAAAAGCAGCAGTTTGGATAGAAGCTCGGACAACGTTCAGTACGATAAGCTTTGTAGTTCGGAAACTACAATCTCCCGTAAGGGTATAGACAGTAGCTCTGGTACTAAAAGCGATAGTACTTTAACCTTGGCCCAGTCGATATCAGACTGGTCAGCTAGTACGAGTCACACACTCGTAGCAACTACGCGTGTAGAGTTGCACGAACAAGACAACATAATATCTGATGAGACTCTTGTTATAGAGCCACCGCCTGGCTTGGAAGACAAAGATGATGACCATGACATTGAAATAACTGTAGACCAATCTACATCTCCTACAAAAGATGTCATTGAAAAACAGTCCGTTTTGAGACTGACAGCGTCGTATACAGGCAAATCAGAAAAGTCTTCCTCGATTAGCTATAGCGATAAATCCGACAGATCGAGCTCGAGTTCATTGAGTAGCTTACAAAAACACTCTAATGGTGTTTTAAAATTTGATCAGAGGTTAAAAGGCATTCGACCTCACGATGCGCTTCATGAACGTTTCCAGAAAGGTCCTCCGAAGAGTTTGAGCTGTGAGGAGAAATCACAAAAATTATCGAAACCGACAACTCGGTGCCAGAGTGAGGATAGTGATTTTAAACCCTACTTTACCCCTCAGCCTGAACTAGACATAGACATGCCTTCTAGACTTTATAGTCAAGAAGAGAAACACAGTGAACGTTATCAAAGCCAAGAATTTTCGAATATTTTGCGCGAGGAAACTGTCAGCCCTTTTATAAGATCAGATTTTAAACCACTTGCGAAACACGCGAGCTACGATGATAGAACTCTTTCGAAAAATCAAATAAAAGAATACAAATCTTCTCCTCAGTATCGTTGTAAGCCTAAGAGTTGGTCTTTCCACGAACATTACTTGTCTTCTTCCGATTTGCCATTGATATCAGTTCCTGAAATACCCTCGGTTCATAGAGAACTTCAAGAAAAGAAATCATCCGAAAGATCTGGCAAGACACCTTTGTCACGCTGTTCTCCTTACTACTCTAGCAGTCTTAGTTCAGAATCACCTCCTATTCAACCTTTAAAAGCGCCCGTGAAGAAAACATTGCTAGCGAGAAATATTTCTTTGAAAAGCCCTCCCAGTGGTAACGATACGGATAGTTCCTTGGATGTTATTAGAGACCCTCGCGAACGTATGAAAACCTTCCGGCGCAAAAAACAAATTGTCGGTGGAAGGAGAAGACAAGAAAAAATACAGGATGTTCTGGAAGAAGACTCTACTAAAAGTCAATATTCTTCAGAAAGTGACAAACCAAATTGCATTAAATTTTTGATTGTCGAAGAGTCTCTTCGACGCATGGAAAGCTCTGAATGTTCGGATAGCTATGTCCCTGAAGTTGAATCCGGGTCTTCAGAATTTTCCAAGGGAGACTCAAAAAATTATGACACTCAAGAAGTTGCTAGCTACTCCGAAGACGAAGGACATGAAGAGTACCAGAAGTATAAAAGTGCAAATTACGAGGCGCCCCAATTTCCGATCAGTATTACTCCTGTTCAGTTTCAAGGTTTCGGTTCTTCCGCCGACGAAGATGAAATGGGCTTTCCTCGGTTCGATAGGTTGGGTCGACTTCGACATCCTTACTTGGACACGCAAGAACCATCGTATGTTTCAGAAGATAGCCCTCCTAGAGTCTCGTATTCAAATAAAAGCAGCCGCCAATCTTCTCTAAAAAAGGTCAAATCGTCGTCTAGTTTTCGTCAATCCGAGGATAAGTCTCTCGGCGAACCATCCGGGCAGTCGCAACCTCGAGTTTATTACGACGACCAAAGCGACAGAGACGACTCTGACGATTATGCATATCCTGTTGACACAATCAAAAGAGCACCTAAAATACCTAAATCAGGAAGTTATTTATTCGAGCGCAGTCAATCAGTTACTTATTCCGATTCGGAATTACCACACGACAAGGAAGAGTACGAGCAGTACAGAGGTAGTCCATATCCTGAACAGTACGAGGATGTGGGAATGTTTCAAACTCAAGAATGTTATCCGCAGTACGATAACGCGTTAGACGAAGCTAGGGGAGGATCGGATCCGCATTACGCCAGAGATATGGATCAGCGCTTTAGTCTGAATAACGTCGAGAGATTTTATTCCAGTCACTATGTTGACTCGCAGGCCTCAAGCGACAGTCCGGAGCAAAAGTTTGATGTGTCGACGCTACCTCCTCCTCTGTGCTCAGACGATGAGAACGATTAAAATTCAATCGAGCTTTTCATTTAGTTGAATCGTTTGCACTCCCCAATTCCCAAATTGCCTGTTGAAAATTTTCTAACTACTTATCACGTGCGCACTGCACTGTCGGGCGCTTTCGTATTTATGCAATTATTGTTACTGGTGTTTGATATATTAGGCTACTTTGAATATTTACATTGTCACTTTGAATATTTAGCAAAATAAATAAGTAATTATCGTCTAGTATCTATTCCCGGGTAGCGCGTTTCCCAGCTTTGATATCGTGCGTAATTTGTCTTAAACTTTGTTTGTTATTAAGTACTTATATGTGCGTTGAAAAAACGCAACGTGTCGCATCCAACTTGTAATATAAAAAAACCACTAAAAAGCTACATACATTAATCAAAAATTTTGTTGTTCAACTAACTTGTTTTACTGATCTGAGGCTACCGGGATATCTAATCGTAGACTTGTCACGTAATAGTGCCAAAAATTTTCTAGTCATATGTTTAAAACTTTTTAAAATTATTGAGATATATATACATACATCTATATTAATTATTTTTCCTGTTTAAATTACTAGTTATTACGCGTAAAGGCTGTGATTTTTGTTTGTGTGTTGAGATCCAAGATCTGAGTTCGTTTGTTTTTAGTGTTCGAAGGCTCAAAATATATGAACGAATACTTTTTTTTAATTTTATTTATCGGCGTTATGCACGACTAGGTGGTTATTACCTATTAAAGTGCCAAACCCTTCCGACTGAATGTACTAAAGCTTATAGTATTTTATTTATAGAATACATTTCACATAATTTAAATTTTTTATGTCAGTTAAGTTTTGAAACATCTATGTGTTTTCACTTCACATGTCTTGCCACAAGTTTTTTCAATTTTAGTGCCAAAACTTTGACAAGTAAACTTTTGTGGCTAGATGTATGTGAGTAATATTCTTAGCATCATAATTATTATTACGCACATGTTCATTACTTATATAGGTATATTTTGTGTAAGTAGTTTTAAACATTCGCGTTGGAAAAAAAACCGAAAAAACTTTGAATTAAAAAAAAAAAACATATTTATTATAGTTTCGTAGTCCCATACCTGACTAAAAGTGGTCGCAAATAGATTGAAGTGTGAACGAAATTAAAAAAAAAAGCGAAAAGAAATTACGGGTGTTTAAGAGATTTGTTACTGAAACCAAAAACCCACCACACACCGCCTTACATTTTATAACAAAATTTCGTGGCAGTTATTGACAGGAATGTCGTATCTACCCGTGCAGGCTTACAATACGCGCTACCACCATAATAATTGGTAGTTTTCCAATTACAGAGCATAATGCGACTCAGTGACGCACAATGCCGAATTATGCTGAAGCTTAATTGGAACGTGAATTAGTTTTCAAACGCATCAGCAGAGTGCGCTAAGTTAGCACAGTTTTAATTAACATTGATTATTTCTAAGAAACTACGACGAAACGAAAGCCTTACAGTTTTATTCAACATTAAATAATATTACTAACGATAATATAAACAAAATTTCGATCAATGCCAACTTAAAGAAAAAACACTTGTCAATTTTCTGTCACTGAGTTGGTATCGATTGCGAGTATCACGCGAGAGCAGTACTTTTGAGAGTGCTCCATTGTGCGAAGCGTTGCTGTAGTTGGAACATTCAACGTTGAACATTATGCCGCATAATGCGCTCTTGTGCTGTAATTGGAAAACTACCAGTTTTACGTTCTCAAGAACTACCACCACACTGTATTATTATTTTACAATTATATAAATATACAATTGATTCTCCGTTTAGATGAAATATTCATTAAATAAATTAATTTTTGAACTGCCATCAATAAGTAGGTATCAGAATATTCTTGAATACATATACTTCTGTATTATGCTGTTTAGAAGCGTACAAGTTAATGCTATTTTTCATATATTTGTTTCAGTTAATAATAATTTAATTAATTCGCTAATAAAATAAAAATAAGTTCACGTTAGCGTATCGTGTGCATCATTCTATAAATAATCCTTTAGAACTGTACAATAAAAAAAAAATTAAATTCTATGTGTTTAAAAAATATTTTCATAAATTACTAGATATTAATTAATCTTTGCTTGATCAGTAAAAAAGATTTATTGGAGAGAAAAAAAAATAAGTATACGTTTCTTAATTAATTTAATTCGCACGATTCTGACAAACCTTTTACGGATTTTTAAACTATTTGTATTTTAATTACCTAAATTGTTTTTTTATCGGGAAAACCGATTCTTCCTAGATTTTGAAGTAAATTGTAATAAAAAAAAAATCGAAAACACATAACCGAAAATTTAACTAGAATTAGTTGATTATTAATATTATTATTTAGCACTTAATTAGTGTTTCGTTGTTATTATTCGTTAATAAATACTTATTTTGTTGACTTGATTCAGTGTACGGAAGAATTTAGCTTAAAAGGGACTTTGTATTTCACTCAGTTGCGAATGATGCGTGTTTGAACATTACTTATTGAATCTTTGTGCCCTAAAACTGTACTTCCTTATTGAAAATCACTGAATCCGCGTATTTTATTCGTTGAAAATTAATATTATTAGTAAATTTCCGTTTTCTTTAAAATGATAACGTATTATAAAAATAAAATGATCCTCAGCTGAATAGTGTTCAATTGGTAATGAGAATGTGGCGTGAAGCAATTTTAGAGATTCTTAGATATGGTTAGAAATGTTAGTTCTAAATCTATCTTTAATTGGTACGTTCAAAACTTGATTGTCTTAAATAATAATTATTCAAATGTTATGTATCGTAAACGGTTTAACCTGTGGTCGTATTGTCTCACTTAACAAATATGATACCGTTATTTCACTGTGAACCGAATACACTTATTTACGAATAGAGGAAGAACACGAGGGTTTGTTTTTTCCGTTTATGAAGGGGGTGTTCCGGCAACCACATATAGGCCGATTAGTAGGGAATAGGGATCCGTTACACTTCGGAAGTCCCATTGCACACTTCGACGATAACCAGCTTTGTGTGCTTAGTGCGAGATTTTTCAAACTCCTCGATAGCGTAAAAGTTAACTCAATTTTGTATGGAGTTGGAACAGCTTCCCGCCGTTTGCCGCTAGGGGCGCTGTTCCAACTCCATACAAATTTGAGTTAACTTTTACGCAATCGAGACGTTAAAAAACTCGCACCAAGAACACTGGCCCCTTGATGGCGAATTTCCGTTCATGTGTCAACAATTGAACGGCAACCAAAAATTTAATACTGAAAAGGTATCGTATTCGAAGTAAGACAATATGGCTGCCCTTTGTTACGATTTAAATTGAATGTATCGTGTTACACACGTATTGATTGAGGTTTTTTTTTGTAATTGTTTTGTGTCTTACAGAATTTTTGTCTGTGAACAATTGCGTGCTTTATTGCTTTAAGTCGAGGCTTAAGTTGAGTTCTGACAGTGGATGTAAGTGTTGAGCTCTTTGGCGCAATATAATTTCAAGAATTGGTACTTTAGCAGTTTTTATTTTTATCAACTACCGTGGTATTTGGTTCTAATGTAGTTTCTGTTTTCCTGTTAAATTACAGATTATAAATTTCCTATCTTTCCTGATTTGTGTATTGTGTTTGGTGTTTCATTTGAGGCTTTACGAATTTATATGTTTTCTACTTGACACCTCACCCGCGCCATCTCTCACCTGTGTTCGTGCGAGTTTTATTTCGAACACAGTTCATAATCTTTACCCTTTTAACTGATTTCCAATCTGCATAAAAAGTGCCCCTTACACCAACAATAGCTAGGTTTTTTTGAGTGATGCGAGAAAACCCATCAAACTTACAGTCATATTCAAAGCATATTGTATATCTAATCTATCACTACTACGGTTTTAATATATATAACTCAGTTAAGGCAATGATATTTAAAGCTCAAATTAATTTCACAATTGAATGTTCACAGACAAAATATCTGTATGACAAAACGAATTATGTGTGTGTGTGTGTGTGTTTATTTATTTATTTTATTGTTAGAAAAAAAATGTATTTCCTTTATATGGACTTGTATGTATATGTGAGTTGGAGTGCGTGTCCCCGCGTCTCGCGCCCTCCCCCTCTCGGGGGCTAGTTAAACGATAAATAAATGAAATTAACGAATCTTTAATTGCGACAACGTTCTTCGGATGCAAAAGTGACGGAATAATATAACTCATCCGGTTATGTATTTCGTTCTTGATCGACAAAGCTTTTTTGACGTGACAACGTCTTATAATTCGATGGCGCCGGCTGCACGCACGAAAAAACATGACTCATGCGGCGTTACCTAGCTCCTACTTGAGTGAGCGATGCATCCGCGTGGACAGCTGCTATACAATAATACATTTATTATACATGTTTTCGTCAAGTATGAAGTTCAGTGAAAAGTGAATGTGGTGTCAATTGTTTATAGCAACGATAATTGCGATAATTGAAAAATGAAACCACTCCATCAGCATTTTCTTATGACGTTGTCACATTCAACTATCGTCAGTAAACCGACTTTACAGACAACCGATTTTTAGAAAGTTCCGGCCCTTTTCATTGCTGCTGTCCTTAGGCGAGACTGGCCGATTTCGGTTTGAGCTTCATAACAATGTCCTTTATTGCAAAATTAATCAATAAAATGTTGAAAATATTCTTACTACGTGCTACTTGGGTTTCTATTTTGTGATGGAGTAAAAAAAAAAAAAAAAAAGATGGAGTAAAGATTCGAAAATTTCTATTATCGACTTTGTGTGAACTGTTTTGAGTACATTTTCTAAAGTACCGTCACTTTTGCATTGAAGTGCGGAATGTATTATTTATTGCTGTATTATTCTTGTACATTTCCCCCCTAAATTGGATAAGCTGCGAAATGGATTGAAGTGTGAGTTTTAATATCTAAATGCTGTAGGGTGTTTAATTTACTTTTCTTTTCTTTTTTAACTTTTTTTTTCAGATGTACTTGTACGTTTCTAGCTATTGTTCAAAATTTGTTTTTCCTTTAATATTTTTATTTTTTCTTTCAGGTTTTATTTTTTATATTATAGTTTTGAGTTAGAGTAAATTATAGTAACATTTTTAGTTTTGTAAGAAATCTGAATGTCCATAATAGAGTATTGCTTCATTTAAAAAAAAACTTCACACTTGTTTTGTTCTTTTTGTATAATTTGTTTTCTTTTGATACTGCATGTATATATTATTATTATTATTATAATTTAACAATCAATGACCATTCTAATTTCTCTTATCAACGTAGCGGTTCAATTAACGAATAATTGTTTTTTTTTTTTCGTGAACAGACGAATTATCACCCGAGGATGACAACACGCTCTCATCGGCGAGTCTCTGCATGTCCCCCAGTTCGACGTGCGAGCGTGATGTCGATCCGACGTGCGCGTCCGCTGCGTGCGCGCTCGCCATGTCCAACGGGCACGACGCGCTCGATAGCGCGCACCCTAAGGACGTCGATAAACACGCTACCAGTGACGTCATCAATGGAAATGTCAACGGTGAGTGTTTTTAATTATTTATTTTATTTATTTATTAAGTTGCACCAACAAAGTGATCATCAATACAAAGCATTGACAAACTGACAAAAGTACATGGCAGATGTCACATAAATTATAGGTGAAATCGACAGTGCATTATCAATAAAAAAAAAAGAAAAAATATATACAGCGTAAATGCCGCCACCTACCTTGAGATATGAGGTCTAAGGTCTCAGGTTTTAATATCTAATAACCCTACAACAGGAGCGCGAGTATAATGACGTGTTCGGAGTATTAATTATATTGGCGCTCTCGTTTTTTGGAAGAAAGACCTTCAGTTTGTTTTTTTATTGTTCGGATGGGTGGACGAGCTCACGGTCTTTAAGAGCCACGATGACTTCAAACTTCACTCTATTAATTTAAATTTATTAAACTAATGCTATTTACACAATTAATTAATACTATATGGAGGAATCGTCTTGTACAATATACGAGTATACTAAAATTTGTTTGCAAGTCACATTTGCAATTTGTTGGGCGGTAGCTCTTCCACAAATTTTTTAAGGGATTTTATTACCTGGTAACTAAGACCTTTAAGTCAAGTCTTATTTTAATATATATTCATATTTTTTTATGAAAAATATAGATGATAATATGAAGTGAAATGAAATAAAATTGATTAATATGAAACATGGCATGAAATGAAGTGAAATGAGATGAGATGATACGGTATGAAATAAAATCTCAGTAAAATGGTGGTCATTTATTGAGACTGTTTCACTGGACTTTTTGGAGGATCCCGAGAACTTATGTTCAGCGACTTTGTTTGATTTTCCCACATTTGTGCACTTTCACCGATAAGTATCATCACTCAACAGTTAATAAACCACCCTTATTACGTTTTTAAACCTGAAGAAACACTAAATAGACAAAACAAATCACACAGCTTCACTCCTCGCGTTCCCGCCAAAAAGTCCTTTTCCACAAGAGTTGCTAAAGAAAAATAGAAACTAGTATTAAATTGCGAAATACACGACTATTTTTTTGTTGCAGTAAATATAGTATCCGAGTCTACGAACAGTATGGACGTGCTAAGCGGGGGGGAAAGCGACACGGGCGACACACTCACCAGGAAGAACAATAATAGGTTCGTTTTAGGCAGTCTCGATTTTTGGCCAGCGTTCATTAAAAGATCTATCGATAAGTTTAATTTAATTGTAATTCTTTTTTTTTTAATGGCTATATTGACAGACTTAAGTTCCAATGTCTCAGTCTCATCAATACGTGAACAGTTCTAAAATGGACACAAACAGAGCTAAAAAATCAGCTTACAGATGAAAATGTATGTTGCATTGCTGATAATAAATTCTAAATAAATTCTACTAGTTGAGACAAATTTGAGGACCTCAAAAATTTGACAGCGGATCTGCTGTGCCTCTTGTGCTTTAGATATCCATGGCTCCACGGTAACTGCCTGCCATTGAGTGATAATAAAAAAAAAACTTTATTAGAATTAGTTTTTTAAAGTTCCACATAAAGTGGAATTCCACATAAAGTTTTGGTGGTGATTTGAAACTTTACAGCACTTAGCACACAGCACGAGCTAATTAGCTCGAAGTAAAATAACACAGTTTTCTTCGAAAAGTAACAAAAATATTATTTTAGCACACTTCGTAATTGTTCACCTTCTAATGCCCGATCGCCATCTTTTTCTATCTCTCTTCCGTCCCGTTTCTTCCCCATATATTCATCCCTTTCACTCCAAACGTTCCGTCTCCAACATTTATGAGCTTTGATGTTATCGAAACTTGCTCACCTTAATCTAATGCCCGATCGCTATCTTTTTCCATCTCCCTTCCGTCCCTTTCTTCTCTATACATTCATCCCAGTAAAAAATCATATTAAGAGTGGTTTTTTTTTTATTTCTCCCATTAGCATATCTTCGAACATTTTGGGAACACTGAAGGAGGAGGGCGGGCACGGCGCGGCGCGGCGACGCAGCGGTGACGTCACGTACTTCGTCGCCAAGGAGCTGCTCATGACCGAGCGGACCTACAAGCGGGACCTGGAGTACGTCACGGTCGTAAGTGATCTTTTGTTCTCACCCTCAACAACTCCAATACTGATTAATTGTTTATTGATTTGATTATGAAATGAGATTAGGTGAGTACGCGACGCCTTGCTGATGGCGGTATACGAGCTGACTGGAAAATGAATGACTTTGATGTAAAATGCATCGGTATGCAATATGATGTGCGCGCTGACCCGTACCACGATGATAATGCCGCGACCCACTTTGACCGCTCGTACACCGCTTAAGCGTTTAAACGAATACGCAACCGACTTGTCAAGCAAATCAGTTTTTTTATTGCTTAGCTGGTTGGGCGAGCTCACAGCCGGGCGTTAAGTGGTTACTGGAGCCTATAGACATCTACAACATAAATGCATCACCCACCTGGAGATATAAAGTTCTAAGGTCTCATTATAGTTACAACGGCTGCACCACCCTTCAAACCGAAACGCATTACTGCTTCACGGCAGAAATAGGCAGGGTGGTGGTAGCTACCCCTGTGAACTCACAAGAGGTCCTACTACCAGTAATTACGCAAATTATAATTGTGCGGGTTTGATTTTTATTACACGATGTTGTTCCATCACCGTGGAAGTCGATCGTGAACATTTGTTTAGTAATTATTAGAAAAATTCATGATTGGTTACCGCTTCACGAACTAGTTCGAATGTGTAGGTTGTCGAACGAACAAATCGTTTCACTTTAGTGATCGATACGTTGTTGCTGTAACATGGTCACGCTGAGGCGAGCGCATACGCCAGCGACCAGTATGTCAAGCACGAAAATCTATCGAATTCGTAATGTAAATGTGTCGATACGAAAACGGACCATTACATTAGATCGGTGTTTCCCAACGTGGGACTCACGCCCCACAAGGGGACAATTTGATAATTAAGGGGGGCTTTCTTCTTCTTCAATGGGCAATCGCGCTGAATTAAAATTATTTTGAATTACAATTTTAGTTTTATATTATATATTTTGAAATATTACGTACTGTGTTTTTTGATAACAAGTGATAGTGATTATTACCTAAAACCTATCACTTATGTTTCGTAAATGAACAAATATTTTTTTTTATGTTAAATAAAATGTTACGGCACAAAATAGGTTGGGAACCACTGCATTAGATGGTAGTACATGTCGGCGTTACGCCAGGATTTACACACATAAGTTCTTTTACAATGAAAATACAATACAATTCTATAAAACTTTAATATTACTTGTTTACAACAAAAAGCCACGCCTGAGTTATTCAGTGGTTTTTACACAATTAGCCATTTTGTGTTGGTTATAGCAACTACAACTTCTTTTATACAAACAAATGTAATTACTGCGAAACAATTCACAAAACATAGCTTAATATTCAAAATACATAGTTTAGTGATTTTACATGACTCACATTTAAATTACTTTACATGAATTACTTTTAAGTAATATTAACTGAAATTGTTATTATCCAGCCTAATAATAGATGGCGCCAACAACATCATTGCATAACAATTCTAATATTTAATTAAATTATTAGTACTGTTAATTATAATATAAATTATTATTAATATTTATGCTTTATTCATATTTAATCATTTATACAGTAGTTTTTTGTTTTTAAACAATAATATAAACATTAAACATATTCTGAACATTTTCACATCAAAACAGTGTCTGCTAATTATTAAATATGGTAGAATAACAGTTTTGTTGCTAATAATAAATAAATATTACGAATACATTTTCGATAGTCATTCGTGCTCGGCTCTCTGTGTCGCGCCGCGTGCCTTGTAGTTATTTAGATAGCGCAGTGTGCTCCGTACAGACGTGGGGCCGCGAGGTGTCGGCGCTGGCGGGCGCGAGCGGGGGCGGGGGCGGGGAGGCGGGGGCGGGCGGGGTGCTGGCGCGCGCGTGTCTGGCGCTGGAGCCGCTCGCGCTGCCCGCCGGCGCCTTTCTGCACCGCCTCGAGCGCGCGCTCACCGCCAGCCCCGCCGGTAACGACTGCAAATCAAATAAAATCAAAACAATTTTTATTCAACATAAATGAAATTACATACTTGTTGAACGTCAAAAAGAACTATCGCCTGCAGCTTGTAGGAGCCGACTCTTCTCCAGGAACGCGAGAAGCGAACGTCTAAGGGTCATGGCACACTTTGCAAGCACGGCAATGGCACCGCTCGTTCGCTCGCTTACGTCATTACGGATCCTCCCGATCTATTAACGGTGCTTTTAGGTACCACAAGCACCGGCCACCGTCCTCGTCGAACCTGTCACTTGCGACGAAGGGCTCGACGAGCGAATTAACCCATAGACACAGCCCACTGAGTTTCTCGCCGGATCTTCTCAGTAGATTGCTCTTGCTAGGGCCAGTGTTAGCAACACTCCGGCTTGAGCCCCGCGACCTCACCTACATGTTAGGGTAACGCTGACATCGCCTCTCAAGGCTATCAGCATAGGTAGGTAAAAAAAACACCGCTCCAACTCAGCGATTAGCTTGTCATTTGAATTTGACCCTTAAATCGTATAATGTGTTAGCGCGCTGGCAGCTAGCGGTAGCCAACATTCAATACAGAGCAGTGCCGCAGCTATGCCGTTACCGTGCTGTTACAGTGTGCCATGACCTTAAACGACAATTAATGATGACTTGTTAACATAAAAGTGGGATAATTAATCAAAATCGTTGGACGGTGCTTCATGCGTTCTACTGAAAAGTCTATTAAAATCTCAGTGAATCCTCATTTTATTGATTTTTTTGCTGCTTCAATTGGTGAACTAGTTCACAGCCAACTTGGCATTCAGTGGCTATCGGAGTCTATAAGCAACACAGTGTAAATGCCGCTACCATCCTCAAGATATGAAGTTGAAGTATCAATTGTACAGTATAAATGTCATTCCACCCATCAAACCGGACCGAACTCTGCTTGTCAGTGGGATACTTCTTGGGTGGGCTACTCATATTCGGTGGTATTTGCTTACAAATGTGGGTTTACAACACGCTCTATTACCATCGAATGCTGATGATCGTATGATCAGAGCGTGTCCGTTTCCAGCCAATTCCTTAGTCCCCTCAGGACCCCCATTAGAAGAGATGGTTGCTAATCTAGGAAGGGCCACGCCGCGCTTACAAACAAAAATTACGAATTATATTTTATTTTTCAACAGAAACAGAAGAACCGGAATATAGAAGAATAGCGGAGTATCTTTATGATTATTTATCAAGTACAGCGGATGTGAGTACCTTTGCGTAATAATAATAATATGATTCAACGAGTGGCATCGCGCATATTGTGTAATGTTCTGTGAGACATGCTAATTCTTTATCGAGAATTTTTATTGATAAAAGTTTAAACCCGGACCAAGTCACGTGTTCGTGCGTAAGAGTATTGTGGGGTTGGCGACCAATCGACTCGAAGCGATGTTACGTCTCTTAACATAAGGTGGGTAGCACCGAACGAGCAGTTTGACGTTGATTCGTCACTCCTCCTTAATTTGTCGGCAACATAACGCGACTTTTTGGCGGGAACGCGAGGAGCGAAGTTCTGTGATTTGTTTTATTTTCTCTATTTAGTGTTTCTTCAGGTTTAAATGTGTAATAATGGTGGTTTATTAACTGTTTAATACCTGTGAAAGTGCACAAATGTGGGAAAATGAAACAGAGCCGCTGTCATAACTTCTCGGGATCCTCCAAAAAGTCCACTGAAAAGATGTTAGAAAATGACCTCCATTTTACTGAGATTATATTTCATCGCATATCATCTCATTTCATTTAATTTCATCCCAGTTGATTAATGTCTCCATTTAAGCATATTTATTTCATTTCACTCCATATTATAATTTTTCATAAAAATAATAATATAAATTATAAGAAGAGGTGACTTAAAGGTTATAGTTACCGGGTCATGAAATCGTTTAAAAAAGCAACATAACGCGCAGGCGTACGGCGAGTACGTGGAGCGCGCGGGCTCGCTGGCGGCGCTGGTGGAGAGCGTGCGGCGCCGCAGTGCGCCCGCCGCCTCGCTGTGCGCGCGCACGGAGCACGCCGCGCCGCTGCTGCTGCCCTGTCTGCTGCTGCGGCCCCTGCACCGCCTGCTGCACTACCACCACCTCGCGCAAGGCAAGTACGACCGGTCATCGTTCTCGTCGAATCCGTCGCTTGCGACGAAGAGGTCGACGAGTAAATTAACCCTCAGACACAGCCCACTGAGTTTCTCGCCGGATATTCTCAGCGGGTCGCGTTTCCGATTCCGATGGTAGATTCTGCGAAGCACTGCTCTTGCTAGGGTTCGTGTTAGCAACGTCATCAGGTTTGAGCCCCGTGAGCTCACACCTACTAGTTAAGGTTACGCTGAAATAGCCTTTCAAGGCTATCAGCTTTGGTAGAGAAAAGGAAAACAAGTACAAGAGGCTCTATGTCTTTATGTTAAATAACATATTTATATTTTGAGTTTGAGTATTGAGTTTTTAGTTTGAGTATATTTTAAGCAGAGGTACATGTGGAGTGTCTTCAGGATTGACCTCGTATAATAAACGCACGCACGAAATCCAATGAAACGCAAATAAAATATATATTTTAATCATTATGCAATAAAAGAGACAGGCCTCGGTCTCAAGGTGGGTGAAGGAAGGCATTTAGGTTGTTGATGTCTATGGGCTCTAACTTGGCTCGCTAAAGCATCGCTGGCTTAAGCACCAGGTGAGCGGTGAGCTCACTTACCTGTCTTAATAAATAAAAAATCGACTCATTAAGAGAAAAAAAGGCATTCGCTAAATATGAAACAGTTGACAGCGGTACGTTATAAAATAGTCATTTTCATAGATCTTGATGTATTCTCTATCGGGTCGTGAGGTTATCTGTCCTGAGGAGTCAACAATAAAACTGTTAACACAGAACTGTGCAAGCAATCATCCGGGCCGTGGTGCTCGGCGGCGCTCGAGACCGCCGGCGCGCTGGCGGAGGCGGCTCGGCAGCAGCTACAGCACGGCGAGAACCACGCCACGCTCTGTCATCTACAGAGACACGTTGCCGGTACGGACACCGTTTTAATACGATAGTAACAAACTTGATGACACGATGCCTATCTGTGCGGCGCAGACTGCTTCAACCTTCAACCAAGTCTGTGGACTTTTACTGGTCTTTTATTAGGTGCTTTTATACTGGTGGTAGGACCTTTTGTGAGTCCGCACGGGTAGGTACCACCACCTCGCCTATTTCTGCCGTAAAACAGCAATGCGTTTCGGTTTGAAAGGCGGGGCAGCCGTTGTAACTATAATTTAGACTTTAGAGCCTATATCTCAAGGTGGGTGGCGCATTTACGTTGTAAATGTCTACGGGCTCCAGTAACCACTTAACACCAGGTGGGCTGTGAGCTCGTCTACCCATGTAAGCAATAAAAAAAAAGGTGCCTTATGGGCCCGCACGGGTAAGAACCACTAACCGACAGTTCTTGTATACCTATTCCTTAGACTGCGCTCGGTTAAATTGACCGGTAATTAAAAATATTATCGATATTTTAATGACTGTTTAAAAACAACGCATAGTATTATGCATATCGACGCTTGAATGACAAACGTGACTAAGCGACAATGCGTGAACTTTACACTAGACTAATTTAAAGTTGAAATACCTGAAAAAAAATCTATTTTAAAGAATCTAGCTGTAGGATTGAAATGATTTTAATAGACGTAGAAATATATATTTTTTTGCGCATCGAATATGGTTATTGCCTATCATTTGTGTACAAAGCAGTTATTGGAACGAAGTTCCTTACGGCAGGCTTGGAGGGGATAGGGATTTTGCTGCGCCCGAACTGAAAAAAATGTGATAGTAAAACCGTAAGAAAAAATCCGTGGAAAAAAGTGCGTGGAATATAACCGTTAAATGAGACGTGCGCAGGCGCGACAGTCGTATACACAAGCGAGTAGTGTATAATACCTTTCTCTTTCTCCCTCTTTCTTTATCCACAAACATATGTATCATATTTTAGTTACCACAAGCCAATATTTTCAGCAATAGAATTTGATGACGAGACTGATTAATAAGAATTACTTATTATAATAATATTAATAATAATAATAAACTTTTTTTGTCGCTTAGTCACGTTTGCCTTTCAAGCGTCGATATGCTAAGAATAGCCTCATAGTTTGATTATGGTATTATAGCCTTTAAATTAGGGCCAATTTGACCGGTGCTACTGGTAGTAGGCTTAGTGTCAATTATATACGTTCTCAACAGGTTACGACAAGTTGCTGGTGGCTGATAGAGAGTTCCTGCGGATGGGTTGCGTTTACAAACATTCTAGTAGAGGATTGTTGCAGAGGATGTTGTTTCTGGTACGTACGGAACATTTTTATAATCTTCATTCTTGTGAGCAGCCGAATTTACGGTCCGCTGTCACTGATATCGGCCATCCCGTCCACTTCGAGACACGGGTGGAAGTCTATTACTGTATTGCAGTGTCCTTAGAGACCGGAAAGTGGGGATTCTTTGTAATGGCTCAAACAACTGAATAAAGTGTACACACATAAAAAATTAATAAACAATAATTGATTTCACCTTTTCGGACGTGAACACAACTTGCATAAGGTCGGTTGTGTTAAAAGTTTTCAGAGGCTGACTTCTATTTATTAAATTATAAAACAACAATATAAATATGTATCTATGTACAATACACATATAAAACTGAGAAAACAAAAACATTAAAAAAAATGTACTTAAAGTTAGACAGGAGGGTTATAAAAACCGGTTTAAAATAATTGGAATACATATATTAATGAATACGTTTTCGTTTTCGGTTGCAGTTTAACGACGTGCTGATAGAGGCGTCGAAGTCCGGCGGCGTGCAGTTCCGCGCGCACGCCGTGCGACCGCTGCGGGCGCTGCGGGTGCGCCAAGCCGACGCGCCCTTCGCCTTCGCGCTCGCCGGTCCGTGCCCCAGCCACGCCCACCTAGCCACGCCCACCTAGCCACGCCCACCTAGCCATGCCCACCTAGCCACGCCCATCTAGCCACGCCCCCCTATCCGCGCACCCCTAGCCATGCCTCAGCTGTGCCACCCGGGCGTTAAATGTTCACGAGTGTCCGCACAACTACGCCCGATCCTGCGGACAGAATGGAAAGCAGTCAACGTCGTCCAAAACACGTCACTTCGGATCCTCCCGATCCACTAACGGTGCTTGTAGGTACTTCAAGCACCGGTCATCGTTCTCGTCGAACCCGTCGCTTGCGACGATGGATTCGACGAGTAAATTAACCATCAGACACAGCCCACTTAGTTTCTCACCGAATCTTCTCAGTGGGTCGCGATTCCGATCCGATGGTAGATTCTGCGAAGCACGGCTCTTGCTAGGGTTCGTGTTAGCAACGTCGTCAGGTTTCAGTCCCGTGAGCTCACCTACTAGATCTGTCTATTACATCTGTCTTTGGACACGAGGTGGAAGTCTCGACTCTGCTATATAACAGTTTTCAATAAGCCGTACCGCATTTACTATATAGACAACTTGAAAATAGGTAGAATAACTTTGCGTTCACAAAGCATTGTCCTACACGTTTCCTTTGTATTCGTTATCGTACAATTACCCGGGTGTTCATACGGTAGATTTTCATTCTAGCTATACTAGCTTCAGAGCTATACTATATGCCACTGCAACGTTACAGTTCATTCGATTTGCTTGACAAGTCCGTTCAGTATTCGTTTAAACGCATAAGCGGTGTACGATTTTTTGCAGTACAAACAACATGTGAATGGTTCTAGGTACAATGTATGCGCCCCTATTCATCCGTTAGGACGTATACTGTAAATAAAGTGCAAGACAATGCCGTGTGAACCCAGCCTAATAGTCCAACGAAGAAAAATGTTGAGTACGAACTTTGAAAAAAAATCGTAATTGCTTGCACCTAAACAAAAGTAGTTCTGTACTGCTTTTTTTTTGGAGGCTAAAGTACTCGCAAATGTAGTTGGTAGTCACTTGTCAGCACTGCGTCGTCATGGTTAACGTCAAGGTCGTTTATTGCTGAAACTTACTGTAGGTAGGACCTCTTGTGAGTCCGCGCGGGTAGGAACTACCACCCTGTCTATTTCTGCCGTGAAGCAGTAATGCGTTTCGGTTTGAGGAGTGGGGCAGCCGTTGTAACTATATTAGAACTTATATCTCAAGGTGGGAGGCGCATTTACGTTATAGATGTCTATGGGCTCCAGTAACAGCTTGTCCACGCATCTATCTAAGCAATAAAAAAATTTTTTATTTTATTTCAGATGATGATCAAACTCTAGTGTTCAACGCGAGCAACGAGCGTGAGTTCGAGGGCTGGTTCCGGACGCTGGTCCGTGCGATACAGCGGGCGCACGATGACGATAACACTGCAATCGACACGCAACTGACGCCCTACGAGATGGAAGTGGGTGAGTGCTGAGATAAGCGAATGACGTCACGTGGGACGCACCCCGGCTAGGTGGGGTGATGACCTCCGAACGGTGCCCGGCAAGAAGTGGATGAGGAGGAAAATTGGTAGGCAGCGGCTTGTCTCTGCCCCTGGCATTGCTGAAACCCATGGGCGACGGTAACCACTCACCATCAGGTGGGTCGTATGCTCGTCTGCCTACAAGGGCAATAAAAAAAAAGAGGAGAACCGAAGACCAAGCTTAGTGGTGTGGATTGAGAGATGTCCAGCAGTAGACGACTGTGGGCTGATGATGATGATGATGGTGAATGGTGCGATACTGCAGTACACTGATCCCCTCTATAACGCGTTTTCACCTCCCTCATATAACGTTCGTTTTGGTCCATATAACACGGGAATTTACCGCATACTATTTCTGTACTGTGAAATTTATAATGACATTTATTATGGAAAGGTGTAAAAATAACGAAAAAAGTTAAAAATTCATCATTTGGACAAAATTATTATTTGGACCCATACGGGTGGGTCATTAGAGGATCTTATAACGCAGAATCAATCTCGTGTTCTGGGAGTTATTAATGTATAAATTTCGTAGTAGAAGTTTCACTCGAATTCCAAATCCAAGCAAAGTCGTCACTTAATTTTAGTGGATAGTGTCTTTGATTTGATAAAGTTTAGTAAAAGAACACGTGTCTGTGCAGAGGACGGCACGTGCGCGTCGGGCGGCGGCGGGCTGGCGCACGTGTGCTGGCACCGCGCCACCAGCCTCTCCAGGGACCAGCTGCACCTCGCCATGAGAGTGAGCCGACGCGCTACTTCAAACATCCACAGATATTATTTTTAAACAAAGAACATGGAGTTTTTTAATGTCAAAGACCATAGACAATGAAACGCCATCTACATGAGAAATGAGATTCGAGGTCACACCAGAGTATTGTGATTGGATTGCAGGGGTGCGACCAAATGAAATGATATGTTTTGACGAATTCGTTCATAATTGACACGGTCGCATAATTACATGAAATAGTTTAAAAATTAAATTGAATCTAAAAATGTATTTCGAAAATTTGTTATTAATAATTCGTTAATCGCATTGTTTACTAGAGCCCAAGGAAAATTAATATGATCAACTTTTTGAACATAAAATAATCTAAAATTATTTTTAGAAAATATAGGTCGAATCTTGGACACAATTAAAACTACGTTTACGAATCAATTTAGTTTATTAGTTTTAATTTTAAAGTTTCCTATGTTTTATAATTTTGGCGGCCACGAAAAAACGGAGATATGGACACCGTACAACTCTGTTTTAATTGATAACGAAATTGTTATTTCTGTAACCGACAGACGCAGTTGTCCGGGTATTTACTGCGCAAATTCAAGAAGTCCCCGGGCTGGCAGAAGCTGTGGGTCGTGTTCGCGGTGTTCACTCTGTTCTTCTACAAGAGTTGGCAGGATGATATTCCTTTGGCGTCTCTACCGTTGTTAGGGTAAGCGCACACTGGTAATAATAAAATGGAGGGAATGTCGCCGATGCGGCTCTTGGAACTGATGCTATGCTTTATTGATCCTTCATAACATTCAAATTGAATAATTGGTGGACGTGCAACTTGGTGCACGTGAAAGAAGTGAAACTTCTTTAGCTATGGGTGGTGTTGTGGTTTCTTCATTTTTAATCTTCAAGTCATATTTCTCTTCTAATTAAGGAATGTTGTTTATAAGAGAAACGACATAGCTCGCTTTGTCCTTTTTCTTCCTCCAAGGTCGAGTGGTTCGTGAAATGCTGTCTATTTTCACACTCTCTCTCACTCTTCATAAAGAATATGTCGCGAGTTAAATTTTACTCACAACTGGCCTAAAGAAGTTTCACTTCAAAAACAATAATGTTATATTGGTTTTGTGTTCGGTGTGTCTTATTGTTACCAATTGTTACCAAGTATTCCAATTCTCTATAAGTAATCTATATTGTTTTTCATCACCAGGTACTCTGTAGGCCCTCCCAGTTCGGACGACGGTATCGAGAAAGATTTTGTATTTAAGCTGCACTACAAGAATCACGTTTACTTCTTCAGGGCGGACAGTTACTATACGTACAATAGGTATGTTCAATCCTGTCTTAGTAATGTGGGTATTGCTATAATAGGTGAGCTAAGGTAGAACACGCCCTACGTGGGGCGACTGGTGACGATACACAAGACGCGTAATAGCTATAACCTCATAGACAGTCGAAGTCGTCGTGGCCTAAAGGATAAGACGTTCGGTGCATTCGTGTTGAGCGATGCACTGGTGTTCGAATCCCGCAGGCGGGTACCAATTTTTCTAATGAAATACGTACTCAACAAATGTTCACGATTGACTTCTGCAGTGAAGGAATAACATCGTGTAATAAAAGTCAAACCCGCAAAATTATAATTTGCGTAATTACTGGTGGTAGGACCTCTTGTGAGTCCGCGCGGATAGGTACCACCGCCCTGCCTATTTCTGCCGTGAAGCAGTAATGCGCTTCGGTCTGAAGGGTAGGGCAGCTGTTGTAACTATACTGAGATCTTAAAACTTATATCTCAAGATGCGTAGCGCAATTACGTTGTAGATGTCCATGGGCTCCAGTAACCACTTAACACCAGGTGGGCTGTGAGCTCGTCCACCCATCTAAGTAATAAAAAAAGAGCCCACTGAGTTTGGAACTTTGGAACTTCCACTAAGTGAAAAATCAGGATAGGCTTTGGTAGGGTAGTTCAATTAAAACAAAATAGTAAATATATGGTAGAGGGAGTTGCTAAAGACATCAACGAAAAATGTTAGAGGAGGCTTATGCCAAGAGCAACACTGAATTGATAAGATATTCTGTACTAATATACAAACAGATAAATCAACAATCCTCAATGTGGAGGATAAAGGACTCATTGGACTATTTAATGGATGTTATTATACATATAAACCTTCCTCTTCAATCACCCTATCTATTAAAAAAAACCGCATCGAAATCCGTTGCGTAGTTTTAAAGATTTAAGCATACATAGGGATATAGGGACCGAGAAAGCGACTTGTTTTATACTATGTAGTGATGTATGCTTACTCGATCTCTTGTTACCGTGTAGGTGTAATAGAAAACGTAAAACTGACTATCCTTTTCGTTTCCAGGTGGACAGAAGTACTACAAACGGCGATGCTGCGAAACATTTAAAACTATTTAGCATATTTTATTATCTCATAATGTATTAAATTATTTAAACATTAAAATTCTCATAATAACAATTGTATTAAAATCGGTGCCATAGTTTTTTTTTTCTTTCTTTTGCTATGGTAATGTCGAATCGTGTTATCAAATTAAGAATTACGGATCTTGCCCGTATTGATTTTGTGAAATCTTATAACGCAATTAAATTATTCAAGACTGAAGTGTAAAAGACACAATATTTTTTTTACAAAAAAAACTTTAATTCAATTTGTTAATTAGAAAAAATAAATGTTAACAATAAAATGCGTTATAAAATTCACGACGTTTTTTTTTTGTAAATGTCACCAATGTGCCGTTGTTTTTTTTTTTCATAAATGTTCACATTTAGAATGTTTGCTCTGAGATCTTTTTAAGTATCTGAAATATTAGGGAGGTATATGAACCAGTTTTGGCAATTCATAGGCGGTTTATTATGTTTTCCGAGCTCGATTGTCTCAAACGATAAACTAATAATATAATATTTATGAGATCGTTGTAATATTGTATAGAAAATGTGATAATAATTGTTAATAGAGAATAATTTTTCTAATAATATACGTCACGCGATTTTACTAAATAAAATATGACTAAGCGTGTCATAATTTCCAAAGCTATTAATTATTAGGTTTATTTATTAAGTTCTCATTGAAATGAAATAAAATATATTATATTGAAACATTTATTGGTATTTTCATTTCGTACATCGTTTTGCTTTTACAATCATTTCACAGATCCTATTTGGCTTTTCATTAATCTTTGACACAATGTTTTATACCTTCAAATTACACAATATATACCGGTAAAATGGGGCGATTAGGGATTGAAAGGCGAATCGGGAAAAAACCGGGAAAATCTTTCGACGCTCAATATAAGTGTTATATTCGTTGCAAAATCTTCCATTTTTGTAGTTTAATAGTAGAATGTTGAAAGTTCACAAAACAACTCTGAATATGCATGATAATAGCTGCTAATTTATAAAAAATCGCGTTTCAAATTAACTTCCTGTGGTGGTAATTATTTTAGTGCTAGAAACTTTGCTCTCTTTTATTTATTTGATAATAATAGAAGACGACTATGATTTATAAACGTTATTTAGTGTTTGAACCAGCATATATATTAAAGGTAAGTCTCAGTTGTTATTGGTTTTAATGTATTTGATTAAATAAAAATACATGTAAAAATCTGTTGTTTTTGGGGATATTGGGGACGTCTTAGGTACAAATAACAACGAAAAAGGGGTCAATTGGGATGAGAATACGTGAAATGGAAACGACCTAAGTATAAATAGGTACAGGTTTGTAGGGTTGTCTATGTAGTTATAACAATATTTTTTAAATTTGTTGGTAAAAATCTGGTTTATTCGAAGCGAAATTGGGAATAAGTCTTTAGTTGAAATAGATAAGCAATTTAATATAAGTAAGTCGATTTTGCAGAGACATGTAACAAGATCAATGAAATCTCAAGGTGGACAAAAATGTCTAAGTAATACATAATAAAATATTTAATATTTGTTCAGAGTGGGGGTATTCATCTGATTAATCCATGGAATAACCGACACACCTAATCTCTTAACCCAGATAGAAATATCAGCACTGTCGATTGCACCTATAATTGAGGTGATGTCTGCCATGTACTTTTGTCAGTTTTTCAATTTTTTTTATTGATGATCACTTTGTTGGTGCAACTAAATAAATAAATAAATTAAAACTATATATAAAAATAAAAGTAGTGCCAACCCTAGCAAATTTCTCATTTCGTCCCAATTAACCGCAATTTTCGGGTTAATAGGGATTACACCTATTTTTGCATTTTTTGCTTAAACTGGAATGCTAGTTGCATAATTTTAAATTAGACAACAAAGATGCCCCCAAGACTCAATCATTTTGATCCTGATATAGCATTATATACATCAACAACTACCTTAAAATTGCTCATAAAGTTGGAATTTGTCCCTAATCGCCCCATTTTACGGTACTCTAAATAATCAGATCTATGATATTCTTAACTTAAAAATTAATATTCCATTTGTCGATTTTTTCGTCAAAAAAAAAAACGAAAAATAGGTCCTATGCTTAAAATTTGGATAAAAGAAACTATCAAAATTGAGCTCATCCGTATTATAATCTGTGGTCAAACAATTGACTCGAAGTTAATAGTCGTAATAACCTTTAAATATTTATGCAACCGAAACCCGGAACATAAGCTGTATATAACCAACAATCATTAAAAAAATAAGTATCGAATTAACAATCTTCTGGTTGTGAACTCAAATGGAATATACACAAATGGAAGTTCTTTTAGACGATATTTTGTGCTGGCAATTTTTTGAGCTTTTGACTTCTTTTTCTTATAGCTTGTATTAGTTATATTTTCTCTTCGTTACAGGCAACAATAAATTACGTTCCTTTCTTGAATTTGGTTTATTATTAATATATTGAGCCATAGCTCAGTATGAATCATGAATCAGTGTGAATCATTTTAATTTAACTAGTGTTACCCGATGATTTTAGTTCAACCATATTCATTGATACCTTCATTAAATTACATTTTCACATGTTTTGTTATGAGGGTTTCGAAAAAAAAAAAGAGTTCCAATTTTTTTAAATTTAAAACTAAATTTAAATTTAAAAATAAAATTGTCTCAAAACAAAGGATGAAATGGCTCTTAACTACTCTGTCTTTGCCTATATATATAAAATAATTTATTTCGTAATAATAACTTAGTTTATTGTTAAATTTAGTTACTTGATTAGAATTTTTAATTTACACTTTCCTGGGTATTATATTTTGTCATCACTGTGGGATGATAATCTGCCTTGTGCCTATCACATCTTTCATTTTATAAATACTTCTTATCTACATTTTATTTGTAGTAGAACGTCACTTAAATACGATGTACATATTTAAAAAACAAAATTAAATTATTAGTATCTATAATAAGAGTTGGTAGAAGTGTAGGGAAATTATTGTTTTGCCTACTTTGTACATTGTTACGAGTTTCATCAATGTTTTCTAGCGCCAACAGTTGAAGAAGATAATTGAATGATGCAATCGCATCTGACCTGCTCGTGTCGTAGAAACTTTCCAATGGTAGATTACCGCTATGCATTTACAAATAAATTCATAATAATAATAAAAACCGTGAACAGTTTATATACTCAGATCAAACATCACGTGAGCTGATGAGATCATGTTTCTTTGGTATTTTATGACGACGATGGTAAAGTAAATAAATATAGTATATGCTAAAACAAAATATGTTCGATATGATATTTATATAGATGATATTATTACTTCATGTCTAACTCAAACATGGGTCAATTGGCATGTACCTAGTTCGCTAAATTATATTTTCATAGATAATGTCACTTTGGCAACCAACCCGATTCGGTTTCTGTCCAAAGCCGTATCGCGTGAATCCTATCACTTTTAATAGCCACAGACAATTTTATAACTAATTTGTGATTTAAAATCAAAATATTATTAATTAAAGATTCGTGTGCATCAGACAAACTATTGAATTCACAGTTTAAATGTTATGTGTTTGAAATTCTTAAGCAAAAAAAAAACCTGTCAAATTAATAAAAAAAAAACACTTTTTAAAGTACTTTTTAAACGGAGAACCTTCAAATTTTTTGTAAGATTAAATTATTTTCTTATTTTGGTTCAGATCATTTGTTCCTAAGTGACCTTAATTGTTGTGGAAATTCATCGTGCCACTCCTCAAAATATTTATCCAATAACGAGCCCGCTTATTAAATTCTTTCTTTTCTTGTTTATTCCATAACAAGACCACTAACAGAGATTATAAATTATTTAGGAATATTATCTAATCTAAATAATTTCTTTACAAGCCATCTATAGTCACAATTACATAGAACATATTAAAGTTTCAGCGTATTTCATCCCCTTAAATTTCAAGACTAACCTAAGTTAATAAATGCATTTGTGCATATTCTAATATTTCATACTTTGGTATATTATTATATTATACTCTTAAATTACACTTACTTACAAAACATTTACATATTTAAAATAATACTTAGAAAAGGTAAAAGTTTTCTAAGACCTTCAAAATTTCAAGTTGTTAACTAGTTTAATGGATTTCATTGCGTAATATTCGCCATATTTAATATCCTTTGAAAATTCTCATACGAAAACAATGGACAGTACATACATTTGGTAATATTTCGCTCCTATGATAGTGAATTATTTAAAAAAATTAGGCTTACACGTACAAGATAAATAAGGTATAAAATCTCAATAAAAATTAATAAAGTTATATCTATGGCACGCACTTTACAATAGATTATAGTATTATATATTTTCAGTGAAAAATATGGCGCCTTTTCATCACGAACATATTTCTGTGGATAAATTTTGTTATACTATTTGTCGAGAGCTGGAGTTGAGATATCTTTGACTTATTATAAATAAGCTACATGATTGGGGTAAAATTGTTACGTTTTTTTAAATTTCTGATGCCAGGCAACATAAAATTTTAATGTTAACTTAACTACTTGCTTGAATATTGTTATAGGACAAAAATCATTACATAATCTAAATATTTGTGCTATTCTGACTAACATGAATATTTAATTAATATAAAATAAAATCGCTTAGCGAATTACATATCCCTTATATAGTAATAAGTAAATTTCATGATCGACATGTTTCGATTAAAACAAATCGATTTACCTATTCGATACAAATAACAAACAAAAACATGATCACTAAATAGACGACACAATTTCATGTTTCACTACATTTTAAAGGAACTTTTCTTTATTAGATGACTCAGGAAGCTAGGTTCACCTTCTTTAAGTATTCTCAACATTGTGACATTCAAAATGTCGATGCGTTGAGAATATAAACTATCACTATTACCTGATTCAACTTTATGTCCCAAAACCTGAGTCACTCAATTAATTGTATCAAAATTGCATCTAAACTCATGTACTACCATATGCTGCCAATATTACATATATGTTTACACATTTAATTTAAGTGTGGCCAACAAAAAAAAACTACGGGAAAATATCAAATTAAAATTACATGTCCTTACTACCCGTACATACTATAATTCTATTACATTTTGGTGGTGTAGGCGTCACCGTTTTCCACTCCTTCACTCCTGGTTTCAGTATCTATTTGCTCCTTGCTCCTCTTGTCTTTGTTTCGGCTTCTGAAGAACGACGCTGTCGTCACCGATCTGATGCGGAACGAGCCAGGCGTTCCGTTCGCTAGTGATGTACCGGATCCCTCGTTAGGCTGTTCCCGGATTTTGGGAGACTTATCTCTGGGCCGCGACCGGAATGTGAAGCTGTTAGCTTTCAACCGGGCTAAGATAAACAGACAAACGTATTCGTTTATTGCTTAAAAAAATCAGAGCAATGGTTATGATACTGTCTAGAGGGGGAAGAGGTCGACCGAAGAAGACATGGATGGAGTGTGTGAATGACGATATGAGAGAGAGAGAGGAGTGAGTGTTGAGATGACGGCTGATAGAAGAGAATGGAAGAGAAAAATTAGCTGTGCCGACCCCACCTAGTGGGATAAGGTGGAGAAAAAGAGAAGAGGTTATGATACTGTCTACATACATTATTTCTACAATTCTGCCGTGAAGCATTGTTTGACATTAAAGTAGCTATTTATGTATTGCCAATAGTACACCACAACATTCCTGCTATATACTAGCCCACTGAGTTTCTCGCCGAATCTTTTCAGTGGGTACCATTTCCGATCCGGTGGTAGATTCTGCGAAGCACGGCTCTTGCTAGGGTTCGTGTTAGCAACATCATCAGGTTTCAGCCCCGTGAGCTCAAGCGTTTGGTTTGAAGGGTGGGGCAGCCGGTGTAACTATACTGAGACCTTAGAACTTATATATCAAGGTGGGTGGCGCATTTACGCTGTAGATGTCTATGGGCTCCCGTAATTATTTAACAACCAGGTGGGCTATGGGCTCGTACACCTATCTAAGCAATAAAAAAAAAACAACAACATTGCTTATTAATATGTACTTAGTATTTATCAAGTCAAAGTAATAAACCAATATCGGATATGTGCAAAAAATTTATAACGGAAACTATGAATTAAAACTTTCTTCTGTCAAATTTTATATGGAGCAGAAAATAGAAAATAAAGTTAAATGTGCTACACATACGTTATATTAGTTGTTTATTATATTTTATAATTTTCGTTTTTAAATATATTTTATTGATTATAATTAATAAATTACAGTGATCTCCAATAAGCGTTAATGGGAGACAATTGTTCGGGAATGAAGGCAACCTTTTTATTTTACTTAAAAACGTATGAGTATGTGATATTTTTTTATATTTCGTTTGGTTTTATTTGTTTATAATTAAATAATAATTTTAATAGTACAAATTATATCGTGTGCATAAAATTTTTTCATGATTTGTCTGTTTTTACAAATTCGATATATTTGTAATACTAAGAGTTTCTCTACGTGTGTGCTTTCATGTGTGCTTTCATGCAAAAAAATTGAAAAACATAATTGAAGACATGAGTGGATGAAGGGGTCAAGTATCATTTTTAAGATTTTTGAGTTTTTACATGTGAATGAAGGTGTTATGTGCCTATAAAACATATCGTCGTTGTCGAACCAAAATCTGCTATGTGCACTTTTTGAGATTTTTACTTTTTGACCTTTTCGTATAGCTCACAGCCCTATCTACCGTATAAGCTTTAATATTTATCTATAGCTTTCATTTGATATAGTTCTTAAAAATTCACCTTCATATAAAATATTATATGAAAATGTTTTTACTCGTTAATTCAAAATAGAGTTTTTGGACATAGCAGATTTTGGTTTGACAGCGACGATATTAGACCCGTTTTCTCAAAATTAATAGTTGTGTACTCCGGTCATCGCTTGCGACGAAGGGTTCGACGAGTAAATTAACCCTCAGACGCAGCCCACTGAGTTTCTCGCCGTATCTGCTCAGTGGGTCGCGTTTCCGATCCGGTGGTAGATTCTGCGAAGCACTGGTCTTGCTAGGCTTCGTGTTAGCAACGTCGTCAGATTTGAGCCCTGTGAGCTCACCTACTAGTTAAGGTTACGCTGAAATAGCCTCCCAAGGCAATCAGCTTAGATAGGAAAAAAAAAAGTTGTGTACTCACCTATCCTGGTGATGGTGGACAGTTGCGGGGGGTCGGGGGGCGGCGGGCAGTGCGTCGCCGTCGGAGTGTGCGGCGCCGACGCGGAGTGACGACCCAACGCCCTCAGCTCCGTGTCCGCACTGTACGTACCAACGATACACGTTATCGTTAGCAGACCACTTGGTGTAATACCCGGTCCATGGCCAAGCCACATCCTTAACTTTCTCTACATACTATACATAATCTAATAAAATGAGATGTGTATGTGTGCGTGAGAAACACAGACCGTACTTTACTGCAACTAAATCATAAATAATACTAAAAAAAACAGTGTGCTTAGTGCGAGTTTCTTAACGTTCTCGATAGCGTAAAAGTTAAGCCAATATTGCATGCAATTGGGATAGCGCCCCTAACGGCAAACGTACGTAAACTATCCCATTCCATACAAATATGAGCTAACTTTTACGTTATCGAGAACGTTAAAAAACTCGCACTAAGCACACACTTTGGACAATTATCGCTAAAATGATATATTTTTTCTAGAAAACTGTCCACAGACACAGCCCACGCGTTCCTCGCCGGATCTTCTCAGTGGGTCGCTTTTCCGATCCGGCGGTAGATTCTGAAAAGCACTGCTCTTTCTAGGGCCAGTGTTAGCAACACACCCGGTTTGAGCCCGGTTAGTGAACCTACACGATAGTATGAAGCTTAAAAAACCTATGGCTATCAGCATAGGTAGGGAAAAAAACTGTTTTCACATTATGAAAATTCTTAAAACGGCTGTGTTGTTTTTGTTCATTAAGAACCCTGTGTAATCCAATAACTTCCACCTTAGCTTCCACTTTAAAACCACGTTCATAGATAATACACATCGTTTAATTGTCCACGTTTAAGCACATTGTCTTCTCGCATTAAAACTGTATAATCTCAAAACTTACTAATTTTACAAGAGAGTGTTTTAAAAGTTTAACGTGTTTAATATTAATCATCTTTGCAACATTTTTTTTTTCCATATACATTATCTGTCTTTTAAAGTAAAATTAAATTATGTTTTAAATTTTGTTAATAGTAGTCAAAATTCAGGTAAAAAAAAAAAAAAAAACGAAACTACGCTCTTTTGACAGTATTTATGAGAAAAATACTGGTGATACCAAATGATTCCGCATATTAACTCAATTTCGAATATTTTTGGAAATTGTACACTTTTAACGCGAAAAGGCGTCGTCTTTTGACTTGACTACTATTAACAAAATTAATACATACTTTTATCTTACTTTAAAAGATAGATAATGTCACTAGTAAAAAAAAAAATTGTGTGGTGTCGTGGGACACCGGATAGGAACGAAGTTCCTTATTATGAAAATATTAATTTTAAGTTCTATTCGAGGTATAAAGAAAATAAAACTGGAGGTTTCGCAACAACCCACGGTCATTCGGTAACGCGCGAACTTATTGTGGTACACTTCATTCACGGTTGTTTGCATAAGAGTTAGTGTATTGCGCAAACGAACGCTCTGAGATCGTGGTCAATGAATGATAAAAAATATGTTATTTTCTGTACGTTATTATAAAGTTAAGTCGTACACTGTGCATTACTAATAAAACTTACGTTACGGACGTTTTTTCCCGGTTAGGGTACCTACCCCGCCGCATCGTCCCATAAGTAACTTCGTTCCAACAACAAAAATATGTTGCAAATGAAAAATATCACACGTTAAACCTTTAAAACACTCTCCTCTAAAATTAGTAAGTTTTGAGATTATACAGTTTTAATGCGAGAAGACGAATGCCGAGTTAGTACGTACTGGCGGTCGTTGTGTCGCGTGCGCGCCCGCCGCAGCTCGGAGCGGCGCCGGTTGGAGCCGCTGGGCGCCGTGTCCACACGGGTCGGCCGCATGCTGTCGCTTCGATTCACTGCAACCACCAACATCTCGGTTTTAGTCTTGTTTTTTTTTTTATTGCTTAGATGGGTGGATGAGCTCACAGCCCACCTGGTGTTAAGTGGTTACTGGAGCCCATAAACATCTACAACGTAAATGTGCCACCCACCTTGAGATATAAGTTCTAAGGTGTCAGTATGGTTACAACGGCTGCCCCACCCTTCAAACCAAAACGCATTACTGCTTCACGGCGGAAATAGGCAGGGCGGTGGTACCTACCCGCGCGGACTCACAAAAGGTCCTACCACCAGTAATTACGCAAATTATAATTTTGCGGGTTTGATTTTTTTACACGATGTTATTCCTTCACCGTGGAAGTCAATCGTGAACATTTGTTGAGTACGCATTTCATTAGAAAAATTGGTACCCGCCTGCGGGATTCGAACACCGGTGCATCGCTCAACACGAATGCACCGGACGTCTTATCCTTTAGGCCACGACGACTTCAAATGTTCGCGGGATGTCAAAATTACTCTATTTAGAGCGTTTTGTACGTCCTTCTATACGAGCAGCCTGTGCGTGTTCTATACTCAAAAGCAGTACAGCGCCTTACGCGTCCAATACAACAATGCGTTCAGGATGTTGTTGGGGCTGCCTCGGTTCTGTAGCGCGTCGGGAAAGTTCGCCGAGGCACGAGTCGATTGCTTCTATACTACAGGGCGGCCATGCGGAAAAGGTCCGGGTCAGCCCTAACAGCACCCTGAAGGCATTAGCAGACCGTTATGACTGTCGGTACTTGAACCACTGTATCATGGATCACTTGCTAAAAAAATAAATAAAGTATCAGTTGAATGGAATATTTAAATGTATTCAACTGATAATTATTTTTAATAATTTATTTTTTATTTTCTTTGTTTTGTTAATTTTAAGCATTTTTCAATGATGGTACACATATGGACTTGTAGTTGTTGTCTGAAATAAAATCAATCATTCACCATTCATAATTTAGACCATAATGTAGATAAAGTATACGACAACTAACCGATATGCGTGGCATCTAGAGGGTGCGTGTAGATGCGCTTTCTCGCCTGCAGCATAGTGTAGACGAGCGCGGCGAGGGAGCGGGGGTGGGGCGCGGGGCGGCGCGGAGGACGCGGGGCGCCCCGCCTCGACACCACCCACCACGTCTCCATGCGCCCCTTGCCCTTCACCTCGACGCAACCACGGCGCTCCACGCCGTATCCGCGAACCTCTAACAACTGGAGAAGTGACGCGTTAACGTACCGTAAAATGGGGTAAATCGGCACAGTTTTTAAGTTCGTGGTTTGTTTTTGTAGTTATAGTAATAAAACGGAGATCATAATGGTCCCGGTAGTTTAAATTTTCAGTTATAATGCATTAAGATATAGTTTAATAAAGAATAATGATAAAAAATTACAAAAATTCACTTGTCCCTATTCACCCGGGCGTGGGGTGAATCGGGCTACGTATAGGGACAATAGTTCTTCGATAGGGCGTGCAGTCAGGTAGGTACCTAACTTTAGGTAATTAACTTTTTAACATCTTTAATGAGTTACATAACTTTGATGACTAAATTAAACTATTTAATATTCTTAAACACTAAATAAAAGTCATTTTCAGTGCAACAAAGTTAAATCCCTAACAACCCGACAAAAGTATTTTGATATCCCAGATTTGTCCCTACTCTACTTCTAGTCCCTGTTCCCCCCAATCTACTGTAACGAGAACTTTAACGAAGCTTTGTCGCGAATCCCGTGGGCAGGTACCAATTTTAGTAATGAAGTTTAATAATATATTTAAAACACGTTCACAAATGACTTATAAAAATTATAATTTGCGTATTTATTGATAGTAGGGCGTTTTTAGAGGCCATACAACCCTGTCTAATTCTACCGTCATGCAATAATGCGTTTCGGTTTGAAGGAAGGCGAATTTTGTAATTGTAAAACTGCAATTTAGAGCTCATATTTCAATCTGGCTGACAGAATTAATGTTGGTGTCTATAGATAGTCTCCGGTAATCACTTAACATCGTTCACCCATGGAAGCAAAAAAAAAACCCCACTAAAGTTGAGGTGTTTCAAAATACCTGTTTAGTATATTTAGTGACTTGTATCTTGTCCATAGCGCCTGTGCTCTCCATTCTCGAAGCTTCGTTCACAGTGTTCCCCCAGATGTCGTAGACCGGTTTCAGAGCACCGATTACGCCGCCCACCAAAGGTCCACAGCTGATACCTACGAAAAAATACCAACAGGAATTGCGACGTAGTTCTTGATCAAACGAAAAAGAGATGCACATCACGGCTAATTTCATTAACAGGATTAAAATATCGACGAGTGAAATAGATAGAACGGCCGTCTGGTGTAGTGGTAAGTGACATGGTCACTACACAAGGGGGTCTCGGGTTCGAATCCCGCCAAGGGAGAATATTTGTATGAGGAATATAAAATGTCTTTCCCAGGGTTATGGATGTATATTAAATATATGTATGTGTATAATAAAAATCTTACATTTATTTCCGTTATCTGGTACCTGTAACAAAAGTTCTTTACGAACTTAGCACGGGACCAGTTAACGTAGCGTGATTGTTAGTAAATATTTATTATTACTAGGAGACCCGCAGTAGTCGAAATTCGACTATAATCAATTGGAATTGTAAGTTTGTACACCATTATGATTGTATTTTATACTTCTATAATCACAAATTTCGCCAAGACTACACTATAAAAAATATTAACAAAGACAAACCATATTCTATTCTGAATTTGACAACAGATGTCATTAACAAAAGTTTGACAATAAATAGTATGCATGCGTATGTGCGTCAAATAAATTGTATGTAGTGTGTGTAATGTTTTCTTAATTGATTTAATGTATCTTTTATGCATTATTTAAAAAAAAAATTAGCATTGTGCACTTCTTCTCTATATTCTCTATAAGTGTGGAAAATTTCATACTCCTCCGTCCGCGCAATTTTCGTAAAAATGGATACAAAGTTTTTGCTTCACGTATTAATATATAGATTTATTTATTATAGTTAGATGTTTCTAACACCCTTCTAAATGATATGTCATTATAAATTTCCTGCTATTTCGTATGTAATAATGGAAACAAAAGAAACATCTGTACCGATGCTCTTAAAAATCAAGGAGGACAAAACTAGCTATCAACATACGACATTAATTTGCAACAGGAAATATTTATAAATGAGTCCTTCTTGTGTTCTCTGTCGCACACTATCCCAGTTATCGAAGCACAAGGGAAACTGTTTATATCAATAAGTATTCAGTAATTTATTTAATATCGAAAAGGGAAGTTTAACTTTCTTTGTCAGAAGAAAATCTCTGAACTTTTAGCCACGCGTTAGCGTTAATAAATGGGGCACGTTTGAGGTGAACAACAATAACCCCGAATTGCTCCTCCGAGAATCGGATGAGGCAAACCGGGGGCAAGGTGAATAAGACTTGTGATTATCAAAATAACTTCACCGAGGAATACAAACAGATAAATTTTAATCTATATCTATACTAACATATAATATAAATATAACTAGTCAGGTCATAAGTATTGTCACACAGTAAAAACTTTTCTTTTAGAATGCTGGCCACAAAAAAGTTTATTGAATTCGAATTTCGAATTGTTCATGAAAATAAAAATGTATAGACTTTTAGAATTTTACTCATTTTTAAATATGGAGTGGACGCTTAAAGAAGACCGTGTTGCAGTTATTGCGTTGCATCGTTGCGGTTACGCGCCAATTCAAATTTTTAACATACTGAAAAATTTTAATGTAACCAAAAGATTCGTTTATCGTACCATCAAACGATACAATGAAGACTCTAGTGTAGATGACAGGTCAAGAAGTGGTAGCCCTCGGTCTGTTAGGACTCCAGCAGTGATAAAAGCTGTGAAGGCGCGAATTCAAAGAAATCCCAAACGTAAGGAGAAACTGTTGGCCCTTCAGATGGGATTAAGCAGAACCACGGTGAAAAGGGTGTTAAATGAAGACTTAGGGCTTCGGGCATATCGAAGAAAAACAGGACATCGTTTGAATGCTCGTCTAATGGACCTGAGACTGAAGAGATGCCGCGCTTTGTTGAAGCGATACGTGTGAAAAAAATATCGGGAAATTCTTTTTTCGGATGAAAAAATTTTTACCGTAGAAGAGAGCTACAACAAACAAAATGATAAGGTGTACGCACACAGTAGTGAAGAAGCGAACAACCGTATTCCGCGTGTCCAACGAGGTCATTTTCCATCCTCGCTCATGGTATGGTTGGGAGTTTCTTATTGGGGCTTAACAGAGGTACATTTTTGTGAGAAAGGTGTAAAAACGAATGCAGTTGTGTATCAAAATACAGTCCTGACGAACCTTGTGGAACCTGTTTCTCATACCATGTTCAATAACAGGCACTGGGTATTCCAACAAGATTCGGCGCCAGCTCATAGAGCGAAGAGCACACAAGACTGGCTGGCGGCGCGTGAAATCGACTTCATCCGGCACGAAGACTGGCCCTCCTCCAGTCCAGATTTGAATCCGTTAGATTACAAGATATGGCAACACTTGGAGGAAAAGGCGTGCTCAAAGCCTCATCCCAATTTGGAGTCACTCAAGACATCCTTGATTAAGGCAGCCGCCGATATTGACATGGACCTCGTTCGTGCTGCGATAGACGACTGGCCGCGCAGATTGAAGGCCTGTATTCAAAATCACGGAGGTCATTTTGAATAAACTTTAGTGTCATAAGAATCTATGTTTTGTTAAGTTCATTTTGGTATATGAATGGTTACATAATGAATAAACTAGTTTCAATTATTTTACATTAAACATGTGACAGAATTTATGACCTGACTAGGTACAATGGTTTTTACGATGTTCCGTTATAACTACTGAACCATGAATCCGATTGACTTGAAACTTGGTATCTATGTCGAAAATACATGTACTTAATGGATAATATTTATATGAGTGTTGGACTCACTACACCAGTTGCAGGGGCGTTGATGATGAGAATCTTTGTGGGGGTGGGAAATAATAATGTTAATTTTAAATGCCCGGCGAAGCGGACGGGTTCAGCCAGTACTTTCTAATTTTAATATTAGATGGTTAAAAGTCAAAGTTTCGAAAGACATCGTTGAAAGTGTTAAACTTAGCTTATATTAGTTTGTACCCACCGACCCTGAGGCGAAATTTGTTGAAGCTGTGCTTGTTGACGTCATCCAGAGCCTCCCGCAGCGCAAACGCGTAGTCCACGAGCGCACACAGGTGCGCGCACTCGTCAGCACCAGACTACGCATTTGTTGCAATAAAACTAATATTAGTGAATGGTTTCACACGTTTTTTTGGTTTAATAAGGAATATAGTAACCGCGTACTGTTTGACCGCGTCCAGCGTGAGCTTATCAGAATTAAGACGAGACCTACTCTTTAAGAAGAAACGCAGTATTCGTGCTTTTTCTTCTATCTATTCGCTGGTAGTGTAAAGACTGGACGGGTTAATGAGTTAATGAGCTCAACCTGAGAGAGTTTGCTAACATTAGCCTTAGCAAGAGCACTTCTTCGCGGAATCTACCACCGGATCTGAAACGCGACCCACTGAGAAGATCCGGTGAGAAACTTAGTGAGCAGTATTCTTGCATTCTTTATTCATTTCGCGGCAGAAATGCGCAACTTTTTGTCACAACATGACCTGCCGATACGCATTTATCAAACAAGCGGGTTTTCTTATTGCCATTCAAGGTACAAGAACATACGGGTCAAGTAATGGTAAGTGGTTACCATCGCACATAGACGACAGCAATAGCAGAGGGCTAATCAAGTTGCTGCCTACCATACTTTCCGCAAACCTCGTTTGAAGAAGGTTCAGTTAATTTTACGGCAAGATGGATGGTCTGAGATTTCTCAAAGAAAACGGTAGCTTACATTTATCATACGTGCTTAAGATTGATTCGTAATGTGCTATTAGTATATTATTCTTCATCAGTAATAAGCATCCTAGAATACCTTAAGATCGGGGTCCAGTCCGCTGGCGGCCATGTAAGTGGCTCCGATGGTCTTGATCTTTTCGATGCTCTTGAACCGCTCCTCCATCAACAGCTTGTCGAAATCAACTGCGGATTGCGACTGTAGTTAAGTTTTAAACTGAGCTCCGAATTGTCGGAAATCGTGTCGTGTTTATATCATGATCCCTAAGAAATAATATAATTAATTGATGATGTAATATAAAACGTATTGTCCTGGGATTTCGCAGTCTTAGAGATAATTAAAACGTAAATATTAACAGTTACATGTTAATATTGTTACACCAGTAAGAGTAACGCCATCAATCGCCGAATAGTCGAACGAATATTGGAGGGTCTAGTAGCATCTAGAACGCTCGAGAAGTACAACGCCATCTATTGTCAGATAGCGTTGCAGAGATGGCACGCAGTCAGTTAGTAATCGGAATTACTCGAAGGGAACGAAATAGCGAACGAATTACCTGAAGCGAAGCGGAAGAAGCGAATTGAAAATTTTAAAGTGTTTGTGAAGTGTTTTAAGTGTTCTAAGTGCAAACACAGTTTCTAATTTGTACTTCGGTAGAATTTTATTTATCCCGAACCCCAGCGCGTAACAATATTGTACGTGATTAAACTGAGTATTTGAATAATATTCCTCACAGGACATAAACCGCAACCAGCCGTACTCTCAGGGACTATTTAAGGTGATCCAGTTGTCTCGTTCTTACCATCGCACCGCCCGCCGCTGGAGCAGATTTCATTCATGCTACCACCACTGCGTTATCGACAGTGCGTTTTCAGAGATCTTTTCTGACACATACCATTAGGCTTTAGACGAACACTCACGGTTTTTCTTCAAACGTGGTTTGCGGAAACTCCTCGTCTGCGGTAGACAGCGGCTTGACTGTGCCCTTGACATTGCTCAGGTTCATAAACCACGGTAATCACTCACTATAAGGTGGATCGTATGCTCGTCTGCCTATATAGGCAATAAAAAAACGATGCCGAAGAAACAATTCACGATTGAGTACTTCATGGAAAAAGTAAGCTGGCTTGCGGCAAAAGAATGAACGAATGATTTATTTTATTTCAGACAACAACAACAACTCCATATGTGTACCTAGTATCATTGAAACATACTTAAAATTACCCAAACAAATCAAATAAAAAATTATATTATTAAAAATAATTATAAGTTGAATACATTTAAAATATTTCATTCAAGTGATACTTCGAATCAACCATTATTATTATTATTTTTAAGCGATTGCATAGCTTTTATCGCGGGCTTTGAGCGCGGCGACCGAATGAAGTAATTCCGTAACGAAAATAAAACCTAACACCCCACTTCGCCTACCATGTAGCTCGCGTTCATACTTACTTCGAACCAACCATTATTATTATGTTATTATTTTTCAAATCAAATCGCAAATGTTCGGGCTTATTCGGGTGAAGAGCATGCCAGAAAAAAAGAAAAACGAACACAAAGATATTACAAAGATAATTGATGATCTACATTAGTGGACGAAAGGAAGACGGAATATAAGTAAGTATAGAAATCATGCAGCCTCATTTAAGCGTTGGTACATTACTAATTATCTCGTTGAGCAATCGCATGCAGTCGACGGCCTTCGTCTCCGAATAGAACTCGTGGAAGTTCGGGATGCCGGCGAACATCACTCCCACCTCGTCGCGCCACTGCGAGTACAGTTCCTGGGACGTACAATGCTGATTAGTTTGTTGGAATGTTACATTCGGGACATCTGATGATGATGAAGGAAATAACATAGCATCCGTAGATTATATAACATTATACTAAATTACCGAAATTAGGCACTTACTCAATTAGGAAAATAAACTAGTTGAATATATTTATTGGGCTTTGTTGTTAGCGTAAACATTGTTATAAGTTCATAAATTTCTTCTGAGCTTAGGAAACAAGTCTAATGTTTAAAACTAACTGTCATGGTAAGACAAAGCTAAGCGTATTCTATATCTAGGTCACACCATCTTTAATAGTATAATAATCCAGCTTAAGCTTGGAATTAAAAAGGGTAATATTCGATATTAAAGTTATTCGACATAGGTTAGATTTAAGGCTGAGCTCATCTGAATAAATTTCTTTCGAAATTAACCCGTCATAATAACTCTACCCGCAAAAAGACAAACTTACATTAGGACACCGATCTTTACTCAAGAAGTGCGTTACAACATGGTCGGGTAATATGTGCTTCAGTAGATGCCTGTTGATTCTCTGCGTGTCCTCCATTTCTCCGAGATCGGTCTCCGCTTGAAGTTTCCAGAGAAAATCGAGACGTGACGTCACTTCCACCAGCCGCCCGTGGTAAATGACAACGGCGAGGAACATTGCCATCAGTATTAACATTTGGACATACGCTGGCAGTTGACTGTGAGACGAAATGAGACGTTTTTAATTATTTTTGACTATGCCCATCATTTTATTCTGGAACGAACTCCACGAATGAGTGATCGTGTGATGAAAATCAAACGTTCGAAATCTTGTAGCGCATAAAATAGACCATACTGTTGTGATTCCGTATGAGTGAGTACATAGCGATGTGACCCGTCTCGACTAAGAAGCAAAGGTCCCGCAGATCTCAGAAAGATGTTTGATGTTGCTTAGAGATTTCCACCTCAAAGTAGGAATTAAGAAAGTGGAATTTATAAATTTATTTTATGTATTTTAAAGTCACTCCAGACCAGGTGGACCTTAGCTTTAGTGCATTGTGAAGTAGCGTAGAATGAATAGGAATTATTGAAAACTTTATGAGGGATAATACACGCTTGTCACCTACCACAAGCCCTAAGCGTCTACAAAGACCTGCGCTATGTACTATTATTTAACTGATTATTTAATATTTTTGTTATAATTAGTGGATCCAGAGGTTGACATACGGACAGACGTTGCCTTGCACACACATCATAAGTCCGAAATTTTCAAGCATCCGCTATATTGGTTTCTCTAAATAATGTACTATCGGTAATCTATAATATGCAATTTGGAACATTTCCTTCACATAGACTTACATAGAAGCACAATTAATCGATTTTTTTCAAAATACTTGCTAACGCTTGGGACTTGCGCTAGAAAATTCACTTTAAAACACATAAAACTCACTTTGTAGCACCCTCGTTCGTGACGAAATAATACACGTCGTAATTCTTCAAGAGCAAAACGCAGAACATGAGAACGTCTATGATGGCCAGTAACGTTTTGATCTGGTAGTGGAGTTTCAGTACTGACGTCAGAGCGACCAGGCACAAGACCCACGTGTAAACCACGTATTCCGGACGATAACATTCGCCGGCTTCGACCGCGCACATCGTCGAGTTTGTATCCTCACAGAAAGTGGTGTTTAACGTGTTGCTTCCATTGTACGAAGTCGGCGGAAAAGATGACGGACAAACGTACAGTTTTATTGTACTGAAACGTAAAAGCATTATTTGACATTTTATGTATGTAGAATAGGGATCGCAGACCATAAAATAAAACTTTCAATGTTCCAAAATATTCTGTTATAATAATAATTAAAAATTAATTAACACGACGCTTGAAAGGCAAACGTGACTAAGCGACAATAAACTGCTTTGTACATAAATGATAGGCAATAACCATATTCGATGCGCAAAAAATATATATTTCTAGGTCTATTAAAATCATTTCAATCCTACAGCTACTAGCTAGATTCTACTACAGCTAGATTCGTTAAAATAATTTTTATCTTCAGGTATTTCATCTTTAAATTAGACTACTGTAAAGTTCACGCATTGTCGCTTAGTCACGTTTGACTTTTAAGCGTCGAACACTTTTATTATACCTTGCTCATTTTTTTACCGTCTTCGCCATCTTCCTTTTCTCTGTCATTCTGTCTTTCATTCTCTTTTCCCTTTCTTTCCGTTTCCTCTCACTCATACCATAACACTCCTTTCCACACTCTTTTCATACGTTCCGTTCTTACCAATCCTACGTTTATTATACTGTTACTAGAAATTAATACATCGTAAATTCTGATAATTTTGCAATCGTTCAATTCTGATTATTTTGTAGATATTAACTGTATGCATTTTGAAATGAAGCTTTTCTAGCATTGTCCGGTTATCAGTTGCCGAGAAATTTAGAAAAACTGTCACCGCCCTTATCCTTTTTCTTTAATTGTTTTAACAAAACATGTTAGAGTTAATTTCATCGAAAATTACTGTCTCATTTTTTTTAAGCATCATAGATGGTTGCATGATCTCACAGCCCACCTGGTGTTAAGTGGTTACCGTAGCCCATAGACGTCTACAACGTAAATACCGCTACCCACTTTGAGATATGAGTTCTAGGGTCTCAGTATAGTTATAACGGCTGCCCCGCCCTTCAAACCGAAACGCATTACTGCTTCACGGCAGAAATAGACAGGGTAGTGGTACCTACCCGTGCGGACTCACAAGACGTCCTACCACCAGTAGCACTACAGTATAAACCGTGTAATGTACAAAAACTCCGCATCTTTCGGACGCAACGTTAAAAGTTTATGAGGAATCACTGCATATTACTCCGAAGCTTTAAAATAAGGGAATAGTAAAAGCAATACGTGTATATTCTAACTTTACCTGGACACAGACATAATCATGATGAAACAGCAAATATGTATGTTTCTCCTGAGCGTGGTCGCACTTAGAGCAGCCGAAAACTTTGCCAGTCGCGGCGACAGTCTCGGGAATTCTTCCATCATCACCAGCACGAATGATATCACCAACGGGATTGTCATGTTCGCCAATATTATCATCAGGATCCAGCAACTAAGTAAGAATTCAAGAATTATGTCCATTGTTAAAGTACGGCGACGTTGGGTAGTCAACATCGATCATGGACATCAGCAATGAAAGAGGGACAGCCAAAGGCGTTTCTAGCCTATGAAATGCCCACGTGCTATAAATTTTACTGGTGGTAGGACCTCTTGTGAGTCCACGCGGGTAGGTACCACCACCCCGCCTATTTTTTGCTGTGAAGCAGTAATGCGTTTCGGTTTTTTTTATTTTTTTTTTATTGCTTAGATGGGTAGACGAGCTCACAGCCCACCTGGTGTTAAGTGGTTACTGGAGCCCATAGACATCCACAACGTAAATGCGCCATCCACCTTAAGATATAAGTTCTGATAGATATAAGTTAAGATATAAGGGCTGTGAGCTCGTCCACCCATATAACCAATAAAAACAAACTTTAGTGTCGTTTATTAAGCGTACGGTCAGTATAGGATAGCTATGAACGTAAGATGTTTGCCCCATGTATTAAGGCGCGGAGACTTACCGCATATTATTTCTGTACTCTGAAGCTAACAAGTATTTGTACAGTTCATAAATACAGTGAATTTCGGTTATAACGACGGCGGAGGGGGCACTTTAATGTCGTCGCTATATCCGGAGGTCGCTATGTCCGAAATAATAAAAAGTCATGTACATATTATGTATTTACTTATTATCATTTTTTTTTTTTTTATGATTGAAAGTTTACTGGTGGCCCGAAGGCCTTTCCAGTTTCACCAGGATAGGTGGGCGAGCAAAAGCTCAGCCAAGAGGGGCGGGATTTGCTAACAACTGCCCGAGCGCCTCCGAAGGAGACCTAACAACTCAAGAGCAATTGTTTCGCGAATGAATCTACTACCGGATCGGAATTGCGACCCGCTGAGAAGATCCGGCGAGAAACTCAGCGGGCTGATGCATGGATTAGGTTGCACGTCGACCCCTTTGTCGAGTTCGACGAGTACGGTTACCGGGGTCTCTAAACCTTCCCCTAGTATTAGAGCTGAAGGCATCTAATGCAACGGTTATTGGATCTGATGGATCCGTAAGGACGTGTCTAGGGCGTCGACGGTGACTGGCTCCTGCATGATCAGGATTCGGGGAGTAGTCAGCGGCGGCAACGATAAGGCGATTATCATGACGCATAGCCTTATCGAAGTATCGTTCCGACGCTGACTTCATGTATTTTCGAATTGATTCGAGGCCCAGGTCGTCGTGTAGGTCAACGTTCCTCACGAACCACGGAGCCCCGACAGCTAACCTACAAAAGCGGGATTGTAGGGATTGGAGGGTGTCTATGTGTGTGCGGGCCGCGTGAGCGAACACCACACTCGCGTAAGTCATGACGGGCCTTATGCAAGTTTTGTAAAGTGTCACCTTGTTCCGAANGAGGCGGGAACGAGGTCAACCTCCATATCCGAGTCAGAGTCGGAGGACGAGGAGGAAGGCGCGGGAGCGGCGGACGCGACGGAGGCCGCAGACGATCGCTGAGGTAGAACGGAAGCTGCCGCGGTAGACGCGGGAGTTTTTCGCGACAGTATGGGGGACACGGGTGTGCTGGGCGCGACGGAGGCTGCGGTGTACGGCGCGGGAGTTTTACGCGCGCTTGCAGGGGACGCGGGAATGGCAGGCGTGGCGGAAACGGCGGGCGCGGCGGGCACGGCAGAACAGTTCACGGCGCGTTTAGCTTTGTAAGCTAAAAATTCTGATTCGATATTATCATTTATTTAATTATGATATACACGGGTGTTATTGAAAAAACGTGTTATAGTGCACTGTTAAAATATAGACCTGTTCTATAGAAATCGTTCTTACTTGTAATGTATGACCGCCTGGACGGCTACATTGAAGAGCCAGAGTACGAAGCAGCAGAGCACGTTGGACTTGAAGGTCCGCTCGTCCAGCTCTCCGAAGCTGCGTTCGAGGGACGCCCGTCTGAACCGCAGCGAGACCGCGCGCATGTTGTCCACGCGCATCCGGCGATTGCTTTCCACCTCTATCGAGTGATTAATGATATCGCCTTCCTGTAAAATAAACAGAGGTGTCGTCATACGTGCATTTTATTCAAGGGGTGCTTTGAAAGGAGAAAGGCGTAAAAACAACCAACACCCTTCTTCTTTCATTATCCCTTATCCATCTATGTGGGTTCTATGTCATCTTTTTCCATTCAGGCCTATCATACGTCATTTCTGCATTGACACGAAAATCTTCATTCACACAGTCCATTCCAGTCTTTTGAATGAGTTGTTTTTTTCGAGATAAAAGGTACCTATGCTATATTCTCTGGACCTAAAACTATGACTTAAAAAAAAAAACATGTTAATACGTCGTTTCGTTGCAAAGTAAAAAATAATAAAAAATAGTATAAAACATGCTTTTGCATAAAAAATTATGTTTGAGAGATTACTGGTGGCCCGAAACCCTTTCCAGTTTTACCAGGGCAGGTGGGCGAGCAAGGGCTCAGCCAGAAGGGGCGAGATTTGTTAACAGCTGCCCGAGCGCCTCCAAAGGAGACCTAACAACTCAAGAGTAGCAGCTTCGCGAATGAAGATCCGGCGAGAAACTCAGCAGGCTCATGTTTAGATTACTAGCACGTCTAACTCTTTGCCGAGTTCGACGAGTACGGTTACCGGGGTCCCTACTTCTAGTGTTAGAGCTAAAGGTATCTAATGCAAGGGTTATTGATCTGATGGATCCGTAAGGACGTGTCTAGGGCGTCGACGGTGACTGGCTCCTGCGTGATTAGGATTCGGGAAGTAGTCAGGGGCGGCAACGATAAGGCGATTATCATGATACAGCCTTATCGAAGTGACGCTTTTACATCCATCCATTTATATTCTTGAAGGGCATTGACTACATACCAACAGGCGTCTAACAACGACATAAAAACAATTAGAACTTTACTAACTTCAACATCTGAGACTGCGGCGTCCTCCTCCACCTCAGCTTCTTGACCCACTCGGAACATATCCAACCGTGCCCTTGTAGTTGTACCACCAGTTAAATACTGCGTGAGTAAACAAGACAACTATTTTTTATGTTTGAGAGATTACTGGTGGCCCAGAGGCCTTTCCAATTTTACCAGGACAGATAGGCAAGCAAGGGCTCAGCCAGGGCGGGTACAAGACAACTCATAAAAACGCAATTCCAGGCAATAAACATTATTAACCCCTTTACTTAGTCAAGTGCTTTGAACAAAATAATATTGGTGAAACTAACAGAAATTAATGATTTTCAATGGTTCGAATATTGCGTTGTTTCATGGAACATTCCCTACGCGATGGGAAGTCAAATTTCTATAGCTACCAATGTTTTGAAGGTACAGATAAGGGTTATAAACAAGAAGCTGTTTCATTGTAACATTTCGCTATCTCTCTCGATCATAACAGCAGCGACGTCATAAACCTTTATGTACATCACTTTCCGTTAATTGACTACATCTGTAAATGGATTTGTAGCTCTTGTGGCTTTAAAATTGTGAAATGAAAACGAGAGATAGAGAGATTGTGTCGACCATCAATGGGTCCGGAGTAATGTGGAATCAGGGGCTTACGTTCTGAAACGGCATTTCCGGGGTCCAGTCCGTCGTGGTTTCGTCATCGATGCTGCCGCTTGGACGACGCGTCATTGTCGTCCAGATCTGCTGGCTTAAGGGAAAACTGAAAAACGAACACCGATTTTTAGGGGCACAATCTGTTTATGTCACCTTTGCTATATATGTGTATATATTTTTTTGGCTCGGGGAATCAACCTCCTACCAGATCCCTGCACCTAGGGAACGCGCGGAGTATGTGAAACTGGTCTGCAAAAATGAAGCGTGAGCTCGAGGATTTTTAGGACCCTACCTATTAAATAATTCCCATGCAAGTATATAATACATAAAATGTACTAAGAGTTTTTTTACTGGAGACTAGAAATCACAACGTGTGAATATCGACATTGAGATATGAGTTACATTGAGACATGTGTTTTAAAGTAAACTATCGCTTTGCAGCAGAAATAGGGTAGACAGTGGTATCCACGCGTGCCGGATCACAATAGTAACAGGATGAGGATAATAAATGAAGAGTCTGATTTAAATATTTCTGTATATGTTAATATGACTCTAGATTAAGTGACACCGGACGTTCCGATTGACAACCGACGCCATCCGGTGCCCAGGCCGGTTGGTGTGATATATGTTCAACCTTGCTATCCACGCAGCCAAGGATAGGCAGGAGTGGCGCAGGATAATTCAGGAGAAAGTTATTAGAGGAGGCCATGATCTTCAGCATTGAGAATTATCCACGCAATGAGGAGGAGGAGGGTGTATGTTATATTAAATGTCAAAAAATTATTTATGGAGGCTGACCCGTTGCGAGAAGGGTGCCTGGCTCTCCGAGGCTGCTCCGTCGCTTTTATCAGGTAAGTGGTGATGTTCTGTTCTTTGATGTAAGGATCTCTGGAGGCTCCGTCACCAGGTTCCACCTCGAAAGCACCGCTCAGGCACTCATATGTTGCTGACGAAATGTGCACTCGTCTGAAATATCATCATCATCATCATAATCGGTTGCTCTTGGCAGAGCAGTCGTTGTCATGTGGAATTCTTGCTTATTAAGGCCTTGACATATGTTTTTCATAGTTTGCGAACCGATGCCCGGCGCACACACTCGTTAAGTGGGGTTTCAGTAAGGTCTTTCACCTGATCAGTCCAACGCATGGGGATTCGTCCACGAGATCTCTTACCATTGACCCTACCCTGAATAAGAAATTTCTCGATATATATACTTACTTAAACAAATAATCCTTAATTTAACAGAATCACAAAGTAGAAGCAAATTTAGGTTACATTATAAAATTTACTGTTGTTTATTAGATAATAATTACATCATCATCATCATTAAGTAAAGATGTATTCAGTAGCTGACAAAAGTCCACTGCTGCACTTAGTCATGATGACGGGTCCTGCGCTCTTTGCATGCAGCTGGTTTCCGGGAATTTCAATAGGTCCACATTATGGGCGGCTTATTGTATTGTAAGTAACAATAATAATATAATAGAATGATGCAGGAAAGATTGTCGATTAAGCGAGTGATTTTTTTCGGCGAACCAACAGTCCGAATATTGATATATGCACATAATATATATGTCCGAATATATAATGTGCGTCATATTTTATGTTGAATCCAAGATTATCTTGAAACTGTCTTTGGTGCGATTCAGATTTCAGTCTTCAGTGCGATCTTCGTTTCTTGGAAGTTAATTGTAACTGCTTGATTGTCATACAGCAGACAATACGCGTTTTAATCACAGTCATAACCTTAAGCGAACATTCTGAAGTTTCATAACAAAGCGCCATTATATTGAGGCAGTTGCAACTTCAAAATTAATGTACTTTAACCGAATTCTCGTGAGTCCGCGCGGGTAGGTACCACCGCCCTGCCTATTTCTGCCGTGAAGCTGTAATGCGTTTCGGTTTGAAGGGTGGGGCAGCCGTTGTAACTATACCGATATCTTAGAACTTATATCTCAAGACTCAAGGTGGGTGGCGCATTTACGTTGTAGATGTCTATAGGCTCCAGTAACCACTTAACACCAGGTGGGTCGTGAACTCGTCCACCCATCTAAGCAATAAAAATAAAAGCTGATGGTACAAAGAGCCACGAAGGGCTTTCAGGGGCACGACCATCAGCAATGAAGTATGCGACTAAGAAGAGAAGAAAGAGAAAGTTTTAGGGAAGTCTTACCCGGGCAAGCCCCCGCTCTCCATGTGGTTCGCGAGTGTGACGTCATACGACCAGAGGTCGAACTGCCACTTGAGCAGACCTAGCACCCCGCACAGCACCGTGCCGCTGTGGATGCCGATACGCATATCCAGGTCCACCTGAAGCAACGGTTATAAATTTGTGTTTCGCAAACAGTAAAAGATCGTTTGCATTTTACATTGTATATGTTACGGTAAATGTACACTCTCGGGAAATGTACACTTTTACCGGTAAATGTACACATTTGCTAAAAAGTTAGGTATATGTGAACTGAGAGAGAGAGAGAGAGAGAGAGAATACACTTTATTGCACACCAAAACACAATTTACATTCAAAAACAATCAAAAAAAGCAGATACATTTGTACAATAGGCGGTCTTATCGCTAAAAGCGATCTCTTCCAGACAACCGTTTAATTTATAGAAATTCTGGAAAATATAGAAAAATATAGCAGGTATGTTGCGGTGTACTATAGATAATACATTATTATAGAAAATATATACATACAATAAACAAAATATATACCGTATAACTGAATATAATGTATATATACATTTCCCGGCAAATGTGTACTCTTGCCTTCGCGTTTTGGTAAATTTTATACTCTTACTTTCATGTTTTAAGAAAAGTTGGAATACAAATAAATACAAAATGTTGTTCCAGTAAAAAAAAATATTATATAAACATAATACAAAAGGCTTTAATAACGAAAATTATTTTAATAAAAAAATGTAAATGACAAACAAAACATACTTTTCTTTGCTATATAATATGTCCAATGCACGTTATCCAAACGAGGAGGCAAATGTGCAAATTTACCGGAAAATGTGTACATTTGCCGCAATATCTACTTTTACCGTAACATATACATATTTATATTATACGTAGGTATACATTTTTGTGAAACTCCCACAGACACAACCCAATGAGTTTCACACCGGTTCTTCTCAGTGGGTCGCGTTTCCGATCCGGTGGTAGATTTTTCGAAGAACTGCTCTTGCTAACACTGGCCCTAGCCAGTGTTAGCAACACTCCCGGTTTGAGCCCCGTGAGCTCACCTACCAGCTTCTAGTTCGGTAAATCTAGAATAACCCCTTGGGGTTACTAGAAAAGGTAGGATTTTTTTTGTGAAATATTAATTTATTAAGCACTAGCTGACCCGGCAGACTTCATAGTGCCTCAATCGATAAATAAAAGACCTAACTTTTATATAAAATAAACTTAAAACAAACAAAAGGAATTGTCCGACGGGGGCCACATCAAAGGAAAAAACAAAATTGTTATTTTTATTTAATTCCGAGCATTTTCATATTTATCTACCTTTTAAACCTTCTCTGGACTTCCACAAATAATTCAAGACCAAAATTAGCCAAATCGGTCCAGCCGCTCTCGAGTTTTAGCGAGACTAACGAACAGCAATTCATTTATATATATATATAGATTATTCTATTATCACCAATGTTTCACGCCAGTTAAATCACATAATGTCATATTATGTGGCCTATCGTTGTGACAGTTTATGATTAATTGTTAACGCGTTTATTTTAGCCTCAAATGACATCACACAAGATGCTTTTAGGCAAATTTTCTATACGAATGCTTGCGCGTCAATCTTGAAATCCTTAGACCTTAACACCGGAGATCAACTATTTTTTAATTGAATTTCATTCTATACTAGCTGACCCGGCAGACTTCGTAGTGTCCCAATCGACAAATAAAAGACCTAAACTTTTGGTATAAAATAAACTTAAAACAAACGAAAGGAATCCGTCCGTCGTCCGGGGGACAAATCAAAGGAAAAACTAAATTGTTATTTTTATTTAATTCCGAGCATTTTCATATTTATCTATCTTTTAAACCTTCTCTGGACTTCCACAAATAATTCAATACCAAATTTATACCAAATTAGCCAAATCGGTCCAGCCGTTCTCGCAAGGGCGGATCCAGGTTTGGCGCCAGGAGGGGGTCACATAGTCGTGGGCAAGTTAAGAACTTATAATTTAATTTTGATAACAATAGATAATAAATAAATCATGATGTTCTTCAATTAGTCCAAGTTAGTTCAAGTCCTGGAACTATGGTCGCCCGAAATTGCAAGACTGCGTGCGGTCTCCATTCGGGCGAGCCGCCGGTGCACTAGACACCGCCGTCGCCGCCGCCTGCGGCGCGACGAGCCCGTCGCGTTCGCGGAGGAGGAAGCTCGGCTGCACCGCGAATATCGCGCTGCGAAGGACGCCCTGCGGCTGGCCATCAGGCGGGCCAAGGAGCAGAACATGGAGAGACTCTTNAAAAAAAAAAAAAAAAAAAGTCCTGGAACTAGCTCAGGGAGGGGTCATGACCCCCATGACCCCCCCTCCTGTATCCGCCGTTGCGTTCTCGAGTTTTAGCGAGACTAACGAATAGCAATTCATTTTTATATACATATTATATAGATATGACCAAACATGTCGCCACTAACATACCAGTACCAATTATCAATAATTTCAAATTCAAATTTCAAAATTAGCGGTTTTATTTCTCGACAATGATTCTTCAAGACAACTATTCTAACACAAATTAACCAGAATTCTTGATAGTTCTAGCTCAGTTAGTTATCGTACGTATATCGTGACACTTCCCATTTTTGTTCGGATTCGAAGATTTTTATTACCTGTGTATTGTAACGGACGTCACGGATAGCCCGGATCATATGCAGGCCCATGTTGACGCAATCGTACGCATGTGAGGCGCGTTGCTCCGTCAGTCCACTCACGCAGAAGTAGCAATCACCGAGCAACTTGATTCGGAGACAATGATTCTCCTATGAAACACAATAATCATTTTTATAAATTTTTTCTTTTTTTATTTCTTATATGTGTGGACGAGCTCACAGTCCACCTGGTGTTAAATGGTTACTGGAGCCCATAGACATCTACAACGTAAATGCGCCACCCACTTTGAGATATAAGTTCTAAGGTCTCACTATAGTTACAACGGCTGCCCCACCCTTCAAACCGAAACGCATTACTGCTTCACGGCGGAAATAGGCAGGGCGGTGGTACCTACCCGTGCGGACTCACAAGAGGTCCTACCACCAGTAAGCCAAGTGTGTTTAAGCGCGTACTAAAAATGTTCGTGCTGAAACTATCAATGTTTCGTTCTTGATAGAAGACCCGCTGAATCTTCTGAAGCGATTTGAAGGGGCTTATTGAGACTTTCACTTCATTCACCAAGGAGGACGGCGCTATTCACATTATGATACACATGAGTAGGGGTAATTATTTGACGCGATGTCTTATATTCTTGGGATGGACATACAGCCGGTTTTTCGGAGACATATCCGGCTTCATCAGAACGACTATCAACACAACGTGGACGGTTTTAGCAAAGAAATAAATCTGAATACTCAAATCAATATTGCTTACCGAAGCCAATTTGTCGAATCTAGCGAACAATTCATTCAATAATTTGACCAATTCTTGAGCGTTGCACTTGCTTGATAGCTCTACAAAAAATTAAACGTTTTTAAAAGAACATGTAAAGGTTTTTAAAACAATATGTCATGAGGAATTGATCCAGATGAGCCATCCAGCTCTATTTTCACTTTTCATTGTTACTGGTGGTAAGATCATTTATGAGCCCGCACGGGTAGGTAGATACCGGCACCCTGCCTATTTCTGCCGTGAAGCAGTAATGCGTTTCGGTTTGAAGGGTGGGACAGCCGTTGTAACTATACTGAGATCTTAGAACTCATATCTCAAGGTGGGTGGCGGCATTTACGTTGTAGATGTCTATGTGCTCCTGTAACCACTTAACACCAGGTGGGCTGTGAGGTCGTCCACCCATCTACTCAATACATAAAAAAAAAAAAAAAACCATCGCACCGCCCGCCATCGTAGCAGAGTTCATCCATACCATCTGGAACCGCTGTTTTCATTGAGAATGCGTTTCCAAAGAGGTTTTTTGTCACGCACTATCTCACTTTCGAATGGACTCCCTACGAATGGACGGACTACTTTTCCGAGTACTAAGAAAGATCTTCAAACGAGGCTTGTGGAGAAAACTCAGCGGTATACAGTGGCTTGGCTGTGGCACTGGCATCGTTAGCGTTCATGAACAATGGTAACCACTCACCATCACGTGGGCCGTACGTCGTCAATAAAGCCCATAATATTTTTTTTCTCTAATAAACCTTGAGACGAATGATTCGGTAATTTTGAAACGTGCTACGGAACAGTGGCGTACTAAAAAGAAATAATCGCCAAGCGATTGGTCAATTTTGCTCTCTGTTCATTTTTTTCAAATCCATTAAGATAAAATAAAGAGGTCATCATCATCACAGTCTGTTACTCTTGGCAGAGCAGTCGTGGTAATGTGGAATCCTTGTTTATTAAGGCAAAAAAAGAGTAAAAAGGTAAGGTAAGGTAAAAATAAATCTTTCCCTGTTAACCTCTAATCAGCACGTCATAGAGTCTCATATTTTAAAACATAAACAGACAGGCCTACTTTCAAAGAAGATTATACAGTGAGCGACTATGTGACCATTCACATAGCAATAGTACGGAATGGATTTCAGTCAGAGCTTCGTCCAGTATACCAGTTTCTTTTAATTTTATTTTTTTTAACGATTAAAAAATGTATGATTGATTAAAATATGGTTAAAAGATGGAACTACGGTTCAATATTCGAAAGCAGTTCCTTTTTTGAGCTTTCGTCAATCAATGGTACTTCTCCGAAATGCCAAACATAAATGTAAAAACTTCCAATTCAATCGGATAAAAAACAACCACAGTAATAAATTTTATGTTCGACAAGATATTTCTTTAACTTCTTTACCAGTAAAACCCTTTATGTCTGCGTAGAGTATGGACACGTTTTCATGTCTCTGTATGTAAAGATTGTTGAATTGCTGCTCTTGGAAATCCCCTTTCACCTTTGAAACATGGCTGTAGATCTCCTTGGCTAGGAAGTCTGGGATTACTGTACAATGAAAAAAAAACCGTTTCGTAATTTGGCGGGAAATACTTAGAACATTGTGTGGTTTTTAAAAGCTGTCAAGACAAACCTTGTTGTTTCTGTAGATGATAAAGATAAGGCTAAATTCTACTCACGATAGGCTAGACTAGCTAGGCTATTATTGCCGCGAAGTAATCATGGGCTCCGATGTGAAGTGTTTTAAAATACAATGAAGACTTCGAGATCGCGTCTCAAAAGTGACTTTCATCTTGTGTTGTGTCTAGGAGCTTCAGTAATCATTCAACACCAGGTTGTGTGATCATCGGTCAATCTACAGTAACAGAAATTGATGAAATTTTCATCCTCCTGGTCTAACTAACTAGCCATCATTTTATTTGGACAAAGCCATTTTAATACTTCGTATTATTTAATTAATCTTACCGCTCTGAAATAAGTTCCATTGCTTGTCGCTCTCTGTTTTAGTTCGTTGTCTAGTGACCATCGAGCGATGAGTCTCCAGAAAGGCCTTTCTTTGGCCCCAATCAGCTAGTGATTTGGCGTACATACCCGCAAAGTTTACAGCAATGTATAGGAGCGCATTGCCGGTTAGCAGACGGATACTGCAGGAACTGGCCTGGTGAATTATGTCATATTGTTGAAATCGCATATATTTAGAACTACTCATCATAATCCAGCATTATTGTATGTAAAGTCGAAAATGCGGTCCACATTAATGTGATTGGTGAGCTTACATTAAAGAAATATGTTAAAAAAGGAGTCTTAGAGAAACTTGCCTAACCAAAAAAGAAGCATAAAAAATAGGGGACGATAAAAAACGTAACTAATACCAGTATTTTATTTCCACCGTTGCTAAAAAGTAAATAAGAACTAATACGGTAGGCAGCGGCTTGGCTCTGCCCCTGGCATTGCTGAAGTCCATGGGCGACGGTAACCACTCACCATCAGGTGGGCCGTATGCTCGTCTGCCTACAAGGGCAATAAAAATAATAATAATAATAAAATAAAAAAAATACGCTAAGATAATTAAAGCATGCGTACTAATATCTACCATAGATTACTTACCGCCTGAATCATGTTATTTTGTTCCAGGTTCTCTATGTCCACAGCCGTCGCGAGGATGTGAGATAGAAACGATAGAATTCCAATCACGATGCACCACACGAGGGAGAGTGGAAGCATCGCGTATGGAACAAACACCACGAACAGCATATACCAGACCTGGTTTTGAGGAGTCTGGAAGCCGATTCCCTGTCCGCTTATACCTATAATGAAACTTAACTTAGAAGCCAGAATAGGTGAGTGTCAAAAACCTATTTGTGTTGGGAGTGAAGCCAATTGGTGCCCATACAACGGATCTTTAACCTCAAGTCACAAGATGAGTTTCGTCAATCGTTTAACGTTCAATAGGCTCGCCCGGGAAACAGTTCGGTTTTCCTTGCAAAAGACAGTCTTCGTGGTTGTGTATGACGGTCTAGTCATTGCAAAAAATAAATGAAAATAAATTGTCATCAACGAAATTTTTTGGAATGGGAATGGCCAAAACTTAGTACATTCAGATTTTAACTTCACAGTTGATTAGCCGTTATAGCAGACGCATAGCTGACGACGTAACTGAAGGATATCTTACTCTTTTTTTGGGCCAAGGGGCTGACTCCTAATATGGTCGCGCCGAGGGAGAAGGCAGGGTAATTAGGACGGGCAAAATGGCCACCCAAGGTCATCCAAGGTCACCCAAGGTCACCCACTAAACGACTTGTCTTTGAAAACCCCTCACCTTGAGCAATTAACAGTATCCAAGTAGCCGCTGCTGCCCAGTGCAGGTAGTTGTTGGCGAAGCACCGCCAGCATCCGAGCAGACAGACCCCGATGTTCAGCCACGCGAAGGCCACACTCCAGACTATTTTGTGAACCATGTCCTGGATCGGTGTTGCTGTTTTAAAAATTCATTATTGCATCAGTTTACTTATCTTCTTTTTCTCTATATATAAAAATGAATTGCTGTTCGTTAGTCTCGCTAAAACTCGAGAACGGCTGGACCGATTTGGCTAATTTTGGTCTTAAATTATTTTTGGAAGTCCAGAGAAGGTTTAAAAGGTAGATAAATGTGAAAATGCTCGGAATTAAATAAAAATAACAATTTTGTTTTTCCTTTGATGTGTCCCCCATCGGATGGATAAAGCTTAGGTCTTTTATTTATCGATTAAGGCACTACGAAGTCTGCCGGGTCAGCTAGTCTTTATATATTTCTTTTGTGCGTCTTTTGTGACTGAGCTCCTCTCCTAAACGGCTTGACCGATTTGAATGATTTTTTTTGTATGCGTTTGGGTGGCACCCTGGATGGTTTAGATTCACAAATCAATCCGGCAGAGGGCGCTGCAGTCGGTATCTAAATTATTTATCTTTCCTAGAAATAATTTATATGGCACAACAACGTTAGCCGGGCCAGCTAGTATTACATACTTTCGTGAATATCTCAACGGTACTGGTGTTGTGGAAGATATTTATGTAAATTAATATTCGCCTAGTTTTCAAAATTCGACCATAATCACTGATACTTCAAGATTTAAATTCATTAATATGCGTTCGTTATATCTTCCTTTGGTTTTGGATGTGACTAAAAACTTAAGGAAGAAACGTAACATGAAGTAGCAGCAGAATTATTACAATTCAAACCAACTGGTTCAACCGTCTAGGACAATAAAAAAATATACTTAAAGTTGATTTTATAAAATTGCAAATAAATAATTAATTTGAGTTTATAACATTGAATAAAATACGACATTTATCATTGAAACCAAATTTCCTCTCTGATCAGTTTGGTTTGGCATATACACATGTAAAGAAAAACATTTATTATTTAAAACTCTTTAGTTTTTAAAAGGATTTTTCTTCAGTGTCATAGAGTGAAGTCTGTCAGTTTTGTATAGTTTATTAATAATATTTACTGTTAAATTTTTTATATTAGTTTTAAAAGAAATTAACGGCTTTAAATATTGTTTTCTTATCTATACATATAAATAAAATTGGAGTGTCTGATAACCGCTTTTTACTACATGCATATGAATATATATACGGTACATACACCAAAATATATTTTTTTACAATTTTTGTCTGTCTGTCTGTATGTTCCGGCTAATCTCTGGAACGGCTGGACCGATTTTGACGAGACTTTCACTGATAGGTAGCTGATGATATAAGGAGTAACTTAGACTACTTTTTTTTAGACTAGCTTTTCCCCGCGGCGTCACTCGCGGTACGACAATAACCGCGGGTAACGTCGCGAGACTCAGCTATTAATAATAAAATTTAATGTTTCCGAAGCGAAGCGAGGGCGGGTCGCTAGTTATACATATAACAAAACGCAGTTAAGCCTTTTATTGTTTATTAATTCTGAAGTACCGAATATCATTAAAATGCCCAAAAACGAGGACGTAAAGAATAGTCATCGAAATTTTATCAATGTTGATATTATTATTGAAATGTTAACTTACGGTTATCCCGCTGCGTTACTGTGTATATAAGCGCCAAACAAATCTGCAATACAAATACAATTATCACACAACGGAACACCTGAATCTCATCAAAAGTAAAAATCTAACTGTCCATTGTGTAAGGTTTATTGTAAAATAATTAAAATAAAATGTATCTTGTTAAAGTTAAGGCAATTATCGGATTGTCAAATAGCAACACTGTTGGTGGGAGCAATGGCAGTAGTGGGGACGTGACGTAATAAAAAAGGTGGTAGTCTGAAAAAACGGGACAGAAAGCAGTGTATTCAGTAGTGAAAGATATCTAAAGATTTTACAAGTGGAGTTACAAATACTCGTAAAGCAATACAGAATTAAGTGAACTACTGCTATCTGTGTATTATTTCCTGACTGCTGGAAGCGGAGCTCTACGATTGCGACAACCAAACGTTTTCGCAAATGACTGAATTTCAACTAAAAAACAAAAGATTTCGAAGAACACCTAAGTCACAATGGAGAATTAAGGTTTACTCATTATGCTTTGTACCCATTCGTCATCCAATAGTGATTACTAGGGTTGAGCGTTACGATGCCAGCATTGATGAATAAAATCACCTTGTAAATTTTTGTCTCAAGCGACACAGTTAGAACAAGTGCTACAATACAAAATCGATCGATTTTGATTTCAAGTCTCAGAAAGCGAAGAAATCACATTACAGCCACGATAGTGATTACACCGTTTACAGTTACAAAACCCAAAACTTATTTATAGCCCATAGTTATAGCCTTTAATTTAAATTATAATTAAAAAATTCATAAACTATGGATTACATTAATTACTATTGAATGTTATTTATTTTCTTTAGATGTTGCGATCGAAAGAGCTAGTGATGTAAAATGGGAAACGCAAAACAAAAGACAATCGTGTAAAAATAAGATCTTAGCGAGAGTTTACCTTTAATACAAAATCGATTATATTGACCATTATCAGTGATTTCTGACGTTGTCTCCGAGAGTATCCTTGGTAGGAGCATTCTACTTTCTCTTCCTGTAACATAAAACAGAAGCTGTCTAGTCATAAATCATCCGAGAGGAATCAGAGACTCGTGAACATCAGTTCATTTTAGTTTGAGTATTAAGTAGAACTTGTATTAAGAGTATTAAGCGGTAGGCAGCGGCTTGGTTCCGCCCCTGGCATTGCTGAAGTCCATGGGCGACGGTAACCACTCACCATCAGGTGGGCCGTATGCTCGTCTGCCTACACGGGGCAATAGAAAAAAGATTTATATCTTTGAAATTTTTCCATCGTTTCTGCTCATTTCCTGACCTCTTAATTCATACTGTTCCGATGGTATAAATCAGCAGCGAAGCTCTTATTGTGATATGTCTCTAAGTCTCGTATGGAATCAGAGCATTTTGTGCTTTAATAGCATAAAATTATTGAAAAGAATACTTATAATTAATTTATATTAACTTTAACATCGTTTTTTTCGTCATAAGCTTGAATTGGTAAAAACAAAGGGTACCTTAAAAGTGTTTGTGATCGAGGGCCAGTAAATTCCTTTGTAGTGTTTCGGAGTACGCAGCATACCTTCCGTGTCGACTGTGTATAATAAAAAAAATACGTATCCATTATTATATCAGACCAAGACCATCAGCTTAGGTAGAAAAAAAAAACGGGATACAATAGTTTTTAACTACAATAAAAAAAAATGCGACATTAAAAAGTTGAAATAATTTTAATTATGTCTAAGAATTGCAAGAATCGAATAAGATACTAAATGTTATTATATTTGTAATATATTAAAAGTCTTCAAGGAAAAGTATTCAGCGGATTTTCAATACAATTCTTCCCTTAAAAACATAACTTTATAACTAATATTTAGATCTTATTTTTGAAAAACGATTTTTTTTAAATTCTATTTTGTTGTACAAAGATGAATTTGATGAACCCTATTGTATAGCACAATAAATTAAAAGTATAAACTAAAATTAAGTCGGCTGTATAAGTTGCTGAGTGAGAATTAAAATCGAACAATGGAACCGGATAAAAAGTTTCTGAACGGCATAATTAAAATTTCTTAACCCGCTTCACCGGATTTAACTCAAGTAATAAATCCGCTGACACGTAGCGAGACTCTGAGTGTACAGCGGGCCTCTTCGTCTTTGCATTAAATATTATTGTTCAAGAAAAGTGAACGAATGATCTAAAATTCTCATTAAAATTCTTTTCAGTTTGTGTGTGCTATTCCGGCATATGTAGGTTCTCTTTCCGGCATTAGCGGGGACCATGGTCGGCTAAACCACTTACCTTCAGGCGGGGCGTATTTTTCTTCGACAGATATAAAGAGGAACTCTACAGTAACATTATATATATTTCGCTATTTCATCTCTTACTTTCAATTGTTACGGCAGAAAGTACAAGATTTACCAAATTATAGCAAAATACGAAAATTATGATATCTACCTAATACTAATATTAAAAAAAGGAAAGATTTGTTTATTTGTTTGTATTGAATAGGCTCCGAAACTGCTGTACCGATTTGAAAAATTCTTTCACTGTTTCGAAGCTACACTGTTCCCGAGCGAGATAGGTTATAATCTTATTGGAAAAAGATCCTTGGATCCTTACTGAAACTCCAATAATGTAACCCAAGGTGTAAAAAAATTACCTAAAATATTCTTTACATCGCGTGCCCTGCGAAAACTATTGATGATAGAATGAAATAATGTACTACGACTTTGTAGAACACATTATTATTTACAAAAAGTGTCACGACAGCATACGTAGTTATGCCACAATAAGTGTTCTTTTATTTTAAACAAAAAAAACAACGTCAAATATCGTTGAAATTTATGCTAAAGACCCGAGTGGGGCCGGAGCGGGCCGCTAGTGTAAAAATAACTTTATATATTATGCTGTGTGAAGAGCGTCTTAGCAGCCATATTCCAAGCGTGGGTGTCTGACATTGTTAAATTTTTATAAGTCAGGCTTAAGGCGAAACACAAAGTTTATATTTCAGAGCCAGTTAAAATATCAGCGGACCGTTTGCTTATCTGTTAGAGCTCGAAGAAAAGTTCACAAAAGACGATAAGAAAAATGTAGAAATGAATTTTATTTAACATCGTAGCGAATCTACGGCGTAGACAGTTCTTAGTTTCAGATTTGTGTTTGTTAGAACATCAAAAATGAAGATTCGAATTATGTAGGAGAAAAGCATTTTTGCAAATTTTTTCTTGTCAATATGTTGGTTTGTTGATTTTTTTTTCCTACCTTAGCTGATAGTCTTGAGAGGCTATGTCAGCGTAGCCTAACAAGTAACAAGCTCACGAGGCTCAAACCTGACGAGGTTGCTAACACTAACCCTAGTAAGATCAGTGCTTTGCAGAATCTACCACCGGATCGGAAACGCGACCCACTGAGAAGATCCGGCGAGAAACTCAGTGGGCCGGGACTGTAGGTTAATTTACTCGCCGAGCCCTAGTCGCAAGCGGGGGGTTCGACGAGAAAGGTTTGTTGAGGAATTGAGGGCAAAGTTGGCTTCAAGTTCACCTCAGCGGAGCCAAGGCGAAGCAATGTGGGTGTCCTCTACTCTGCTAAAGCAACTTAGTATAGTATAAGGATGATCTCATAGATTATATTATGGCTCAGTGATATTCATGCTTGTATCACCAAATGCCAAACAACAACAATATCAGTCTAATGACCAAAGATATTACTTGCCATATGATCTTACTTCTGTTATCATTCCCTATAAGCAATTGAAGTTGGATATGTATGATGAACAATATGATGACAAATATGATGAACATTTTTTCTCAATTTATTATGTTATGTTGACTCGCAATTTCATGCTATTACCACATATATTAGTGTTTTATCGATGTCAAAAGTAAATGTGTAATGTGATGCGTAAAACTTTAATGGGTTAGCCAATTGATGTGTTACGAAATTGATATTTTAATAAACACGTCTTATATATGTTACAGTGTAAAATAACCTAAAAAATTGATTCCACTGAAGGTAAGTCACTGTAGTACACTACTAAAAACTATTAAAAGGGAATTATTAATTACCAAAAACAACCTGACACACAAATAATGTTATAACATTGAAAATAATATATTTATATCAGATATTAGCGAAAGGAAATGGATGTGGTAAATGTTGTCCGACCACAGAGTCGATTTGTAATGAAAATTGTAAAACTAAACAAAAACCATTAAATTATATAAACAGTGCTAACCATATCCGAAATTTACTAAAGTTAGGGAAAATATCGTTAGCGATAGAATACATATATGGCCTGATTAAATATAGAAAGGAAACAATTCAATTATTTTATTCATAAATTATTTTATTAATAATAATATAATAATAATAAAAATCATTTATTGCCTTTCACATCATAAAATGAAATACAAAAAAAAAGAAAAGAAAAAAAAAGAGAAAAAGGCAAAAGGAGGTGGCTCAGCTATTGCTGTTCAAGGTTGATAAATCGAACAGCGCTGATTTTCAGTCACCCCCGTTTCCCTTTGGTTCTTTGCGGGAATGAAGACTCCGTACGTGTGTACATACTTAGAATATGGTTTAGGTATTCTTTATTTAATTGAAATAAATATAACCGATTAATTTCACGTTTATTATTTTCGAAAAAATTACAGTTTTCGTGGTCACGGATAACTAATATAGGTATATTATAAACTATACTAATATATAAAAAAACGTGCTCAATTTTATGTAGGTTTTCTTGATTTTTCTCTTAAATTTTGCTGATTAGTTTTTATTTAAGTACAGGAAAGTATTTAGGAAATTCAATATTTTAGGAAATAATAAATAATGTAAAATTTAAAAAAATGTAATTCAAATTATCAATTAAAATAACAAAATATGATGAGAGAACGAAAAGAAAGAAGGAGAAAGAGAAAGGTATTATACACTACTCGCTTGTGTATGCGACTGTCGCGCCTGCGCACGTCTCATTTAACGGTTTTATTCCACGGACTTTTTCTTACGGTTTTACTATCACATTTTTTTCAGTTCGGTCGCGCAGCAAAATCCCTATCTCCTCCAAGCCTGCCGTAAAGAACTTCGTTCCAAAAAAAAAAAAAAAAGAATTACGAGAAAAAAATCGCGCGGTGAAATATCGCTGTGCGGAAAACAAGGCCTTATTCCACAGACTTTTTCTTACGGTTTTTACTATCACATTTTTTCAGTTCGGTCGCGCAGCAAAATCCCTATCTCCTCCAAGCCTGCCATAAGGAACTTCATTCCAATAATAGGTTGGGGAAAAAATTTCTTCGCATTTTTTAGGAAAATTCACAACATTTTTTAATATAGTTTATTTACATTTAAGTAAAGTATGTAGGTACCATTTTGTTCGATAACTGTTTGCCATCTTGTAGGTAGGGACATGATCCCATTGCTTTAGAAATTTTAGGGCTTCTGATCCAAATACCGCGACAATTGGTTTTGGCAGTCCTCTCGTGGTGTTAACCTGACACCGGCAAAAGAATTCTGAAGAGACCGAAACAGGCGGAAATCTAAAAGTCAGGTCAGGACTATACGGCGAATGCATTAACACATCTCAGCCAAGCTCTGTTATGTCCATCACTGTACTCTTGTGTATAAAGTTAAATTAATAAATAAAATGTGTGTGTGTGCAAGTCACACACGGTAGAAGTAATACTTATAAAATATAAAAATAATCGCAAGGGTTAACCACTCTGCAGCGCAATGGAGCAGCCGCACCCCGGGGAACCGCCTGCATGATCCCAATATCCCGACGCCAGGTAGCTATGATTTAGCAAGAGAAATATGAGAACGTCTATCAACTATGTAACATCTCGTCACCGCGATTCAGGAATTGTTGAATTTACGTGCAGCGACATCTATTGATAACAAACTAAATAGAAATAAAATAAACATGGCGCGTAACGGAAGAAATCAAGATGGCGCGTAACCGAAAAACGTTACATACGTTTTTTCTTCCCTACGTCGATAAAGAAGTTTCACTTCAATAAATAAATATTGTGGAGCATTATTAATTAAGTATAAAGATTATTCAGTTAACCTGGATCATTGTTCGTTCTGAATGGATTAACGCTTCGACTCGAACGACCGTCGTCACTCGCACGGTTCTGAAATTCAAGGATTTTCATAGCATACAGTTTGTATTTTATGATACAATAAAATATTACTTGTTTTTAACCCAACGGTTTCATTTTTATTTTTTATTTATTGCTTAGATGGGTGGACGAGCTCACAGCCCACCTGGTGTTAAGTGGTTACTGGAGCCCATAGACATTCACAACGTAAATGCGCCACCCACCTTGACATATAAGTTCTAAGGTCTCAAGTATAGTTACAACGGCTGCCCCACCCTTCAAACCGAAACGCATTTCTGCTTCACGGCAGAAATAGGCAGGGTGGTGGTACCCACCCGCGCGGACTCACAAGAGGTCTTACCACCAGTAAAGGTTTGGTATTTTATTGCAAATGTAGGCAGACGAGCTTACGTCTCACCCGATGGTGAGTGGTTACCGTCGTCCATGGACGTCGGCAATGCCAGGGGCAGAGCCAAGCCGCTGCCTACCATAATTGAATTTTAAGAGAAGACGTTGTACATTCTTCACATACTTTAAGGCCAAGAAAGCTAAAATTCCTACTTCAAGCGACATGAAATCGAAATTTCGACTGTACAATAACAATATAAATATGCATGTCAATGATTTGACAAAAATAATATTAAAAATTAATGATTTTAGATTTTCTTTACATGCGATTTCGGTACATTGATTTATATATGATGCATTGATTGTCATATGATACATTGATTTCGGTACATTGATTTGTATAGTACGGCATAAACTACCTGGTCATCAGGCACTGAGGAACTGGCGCCATCTCCAGGGAGTCTTTCGCTTTGAGGAGGTGAGCGGGTCGATATCTCAGGTCTGCTTACTTCACTGGTTTGACAGCTTTGACACTGCAACAAGTAACACTAATTATTCTGACATCCATTATTTTAAATTTAGTAATTTAATCATAAGTTTTTTTTGTTTCTTTTTAATGTCTTTGTAGGCAAATGAGTATACGGCCCACCTGATAGTAAGTGGTTACCGTCACTCATGGACGTCAGCAATGCCAGGGGCATTAAGTACTCTCCGCAAGCCTCGTACTAAGCAAGCCTAAATACAATCTCTAGTCTCTAATGGCTATGATCACATTTTTACTTGCTGGAAACAAAACGCTCTATATGAAATACTAAAACTAAAAAAATCTGTTTTATTTATAGAAAGAACTTTAAGAAATTACCTAAAAAAGCCTTTTACTTTTGTAAGTGCGTAGAGTCTTTCTTTCATTTAAAATACTAACAGTTTTTTATTCAATTAAGCTTTCACAGGCGCTATCAAAGACATAGAAATATCGGCAAAAAGATCACGGGATGCGCTTTTCCAAATATACTCCACTCATCTGTATATCGTTCAGTGAAAAGAGAGTTCAGTTTTGTATACTATAATAATACTGTTTAATTTTTTATATGAATTTTAAAAGAGATTAGGGGCTTTAAATGTTTTTTTTCTTATACACAGAAAACGCAATTAAGTATTTTATTGTTTATTCATTCCATATCATCATCTGAAGTATTCCATATCATCATATGTATATATTTAAACGTATATAGATAAGTATGGTGGTTAAGTCAACGTCGTAATTCGTTTTGATTAAAATGGGTACGACCACTCTGCCTGTTTCTGCCGTGAAGCAGTAATGCGTTTCGGTTTCAAGAGTGGGGCAGCCGTTGTAACTATACTTGAGACCTTAGAACTTATATCTCAAGGTGGGTGGCGCATTTACGTTGTGGATGTCTATGGGCTCCAGTAACCACTTAACACCAGGTGGGCTGTGAGCTCGTCCACCCATCTAAGCAATAAAAAAAAATTACATGTGTGCAATTCACACGTGGTAGAAGTGAAACATTCCAAAATTAAAATACAATTATCCTAAACGTCTTAAGTATATGTAAAATTTTGTCATTAGTAAATAATTGTAAGGTAGCGCCCTCTGTGAATTGATATTTTAATTTCACGTATAATCCTAAATTAAAATTCACTACAAGAGCTTTCATACACACGTTAGTATTAAAAAATCTCACAGATGGCGCTGTATTAAATAGTATGTATATTTCTGTCTCATTCTTTGCTGGCTTCATCCTACACATTTTAGTATTTGTGTCTCTTACCTGTCGTTTTTTCCGTTGCATCCGGTTTGAAATCACAACGATTCTAAAGAAGTTTTCACTTCAAAAATAATAATAATAATGAAACCCAAGAGAAGAGAATAAGCCTTGAAAATATTTTAATTCATTTTTATTTGCAACGAAACTCCGTAAAGCGACCCAGTTCCTTTGAGCTGCATTGTGCAGTTTTTGAGAACTACAAAAAGTGACGCCAGGGGAGAACACTAAACCCGCTCCTTTGGGATTCCAGTTGAAATATTAAGTAGAACATAAAATTTAAAATACACAGTAGTCCTATTTTTATGCAGAGTAATTTTATATGCGACTTAAGTTATATTGTTAGTACATTTATAAATAACTAGCTGTACCCGTCCGCTTCGCTGGGCATTTAAAATTAACATTATTATTTCTCACCCCCACAAAGATTCTCATCATTAACGCCCCCGCAACTGGTGTAGGGAGTCCAACTCTCATATAAATATTAGCCTATCCATTAAGTACATGTATTTTCTGCATGGATACCAAGTTTCAAGTCAGTCGGACGCATGGTTCAGTAGTTATAACGGAACATCCGTAAAAACCACTGTAAAATTATATTATCTCACAAGAGTAACCAGTAAATTACTTTACAGTAAATTACACTTGCTTACACTTACTTACACTTACGCTGTAAATGAAGAAAAAAGATTTTCCACTATTTTCCTACCTTCGCTCCGTCGCTAAATATATTGGATTTAAAAATAAATGATTATCATTGTGGCTTTTCTCCGTTGACATCCGGTGTCGCAACGCTGGAGTGCCGCTAATGTTTCGCTAAGTAAACGCATTAGCCATGTGTCGCCTTATCGCTAGATATCACAGCTTTCTGATACAGGTACTGTCCGTGACGAAAGTGCTAGGGGAAATCCAATTTTGTAAATGTTATTTTATCGGTTCAGTAGATCCTTACCGGTATATTTGCGTTAAAATCATTTGCTACCAGATATCGTACTAGCGTTAGCAAAGATCAGTCAATTTTTGGGTTATTAGAAACACGTAGAGTAGATAAAGCGCTTTGCGATCTAGTATCGATGGACACAGCTAATACAGACACAGTGAATAAGCCATGTAGCCCGATTTCAGGGGCAGCCGTCGAGAAATACAGTTGCGATGTCGACTTTTTTACTGGTGGTTGGACCTCTTGTGAGTCCGCACGGGTAGGTACCACCGCCCCGCCTATTTCTGCCGTGAAGTAGTAATGCGTTTCGGTTTGAAGGGTGGGGTGGCCGTTGTAATTAAGCTGAGACCTTGGAACTTATATCTCAAGATGGGTGGCGCATTTACGTTGTAGATGTCTATGGGCTCCAGTAACCAGTTGGGCTCGTCGACCCATCTAAGCAATACGAAAATAAATTGTCTCAGGGTAGCTGGTGCGTTTATGTTGTGATGATACCTATGGGCTCTTGAGACCGTTATTGTTATGAAAAAGATATGAAAAAGCCCTTTTGTATTTTCTTTAATAACAAAAGCAATAACGTAATACACAATATGATTATCTATCTTGAGACATCGGTGATTATCGACTCGGTCGCATTCTGATCATTTAGTGAAAATAAGTTAATTTTAATGTATTATTTCTAAACACGAATGTACATTTTGTGATTAAATATCCCGCTCATGTACGAAACAAGGTGAAAGGCATTGATCGAGCGTGATATTGCTTATTCTATACGGATTTTATTTATAAAAAGGTCTCGCTTCGTCTATTATTTCACGAAAAATGCCTAATTTATGTAGCTAAATAGATTTTTTTCAAAATCGATCACATTTCTTGAAACTGCTGAGCTTTTTGCATATAAACTTACGATTTGATATCTTTATATTTTTAATTGCTTTAGTATTGTAGATGACTGTGCAAAGTGGAAGATTTTAAGTAGGAAAGCGAACCCTGGCATTAGATCGGGAAAACGCTAGAAAGAAGAAGAAGTATTGTAGGAGTACAACTTCGCAACAGTCGCAAAATGAAGTAGTTCATTTTTTTTTCTACCTAAGCTGAGAGCCTTGAGCGTAGCCTTAACTAGTAGGTGAGCTCGCGGGCTCAAACCTGACGACGTTGCTAACACGAACCCTAGCAAGAGCCATGCTTCGCAGAATCTAACACCGGATCGGAAACGCGACCCACTGAGAAGATCCGGCGAGAAACTCAGTGGGCTGTGTCTAATTTACTCGTCGAGCCCTTTCGACGTTCGACGAGAATGATGACCGGTGCTTGAGGTACCTAAAAGCACCGTTAGTGGATCGGGGGAATCCGAAATGACGTGTTTGGGGCGACGTCAACTGCTTTCCATTCTGTCCGTAGGATCGGGAATGTAGTTACCGGCAGCCACGATGAGAGGGTTCTCGTGTCGTGCCGCTTTATCGAAGTGGCACATCGATGCCGACTGAAAATACTTACTGATAGACTCTAAGTCCAGGTCGTCATGGAGGCCGACGTTCCTGACGAACCACGCGACTCCGACTGCTATCTTGCAAAAACGGGATTGAATAATTTGGAGTGATTTTAAGTTAGTGCGGGCCGCGTGAGCGAACACTACACTTGCATAGGTCATGACGGTGCGTATGCAAGTTTTGTAGAGTGTCACCTTATTTCTAAAGGGACAATTTAGTTCGCCTGCATAACATCGGGTAGAGGCGTCTTAGTATGAAGGCGGCACGGTCGCGTACCGTCTTTATGTGGGGGTGGAATGTCATCCCTCTGTCGAGGGTGACGCCTAAGTATTTGACCTTCGGGGCCCACGGTATGGGTTGGTGGTCCATGATGATTGGGCGAATGACAGAGGCGGAGGGGTTGACGCGCCTAGTCGGGAGTGGGATGCTCAAAGTGGTAGTATTTCAACGATCTGATTGAAATAATGAATACTCTTTTTACCATGAAAGGCAGATGAGCTAACAATCTGCCTGATGGTATGGGGTAAATAAAAAAACTGGACCCTAGCTAGCAAGCCAGCACACAGACAAGCCACTGCGAACCGTTGAAGACTTCTTTCAAACTTAGTTTAAGGGAGGATTTATGTTTAATTGTTATTACATGATATTATTCGTTCAAGGTCAGGAGTTAAGTACGTATATATTTAGAACTAGTAGTTGCTCTGTGGTCGAAATTCGACCATAATTAATTAAAATTCTAAGTTTGAGCATTAATTTTTAATTTTTTTTATTGCCCTTGTAGGCAGACGCGCATATGGCCCGCCTAACAGTGATTGGTTATTGTCGCCCATGGACTTCAGCAATGCCAAGGGCAGAGTCAAGCCGCTGCCTACCGTGAAGTTATTATGATTCTATTGTCACATTTCTATAATCATAATTATTTTCTGCATTATAATCATTGTTTTACAATCACAGCTTTCGCCAGGCTACACTATAGACATACCTATAATATTAAAGACAGACAATATTAATCTATTCTCAATTAGATCACAGAAATCAAAGAATGAACAAAAGAGTATACAATATATATTATGTTAATATAATTATATTATTAATTATATATATAAGAGGATAGCGTAAAAGTTAACTCAAATCTGTATACAGTTGGAACAGCGCACCTAGCGGCAAACGTATGCAAATATTCCAACTACACACAAATTGAGGAGTTAACTTTTACGCCATCGAGAGCGTTAAAAAGCTCGCTTACCTGAATATTTTTTATTATTTACCTATAATCAAGGTTCACGTGTGTAAGCCGAAAGAGATCGTTCATTTGTTGC